ATTGTTGAAATATGAGAATGACGAGAAAGAACAGAGAAAAGGAAAAAGAAACTAACGAATTCAAAAGCGACAGTCAAGTGAATGTGAACTTTGCCATCGACAATGGAAAATATTCATTTGGCGGCACGAAAAACCTCATCAAAGCGTCACTGCACCCTTTTGCTTTTGTTTTAAAGAAAAAAGAAACCATATGATTTTCTTACTCTCTTAATTAATAATCAACGCCAGACAAAAGTTGTAAATCAATCGACACTTGAGTACTACAGCTGAACATGATGAACAGAATCGTCCAAGCGTTCGATTGTCAACGGCAATATTTTTGTAGTAAATAGTTGCCAGACACACATATTGGCGTCATAAATGCATATTTATGAGTGATTGGCAATAATGGAACATTCCATTATCAGGGGGGCATTTCCCCTGTGGGCAAAATCCGGCTTCAATTCAGTGCATTAAAGCCAGTGAGCCGTGTATCGGAACCACAACACTATTGCTGCGAAATTTTACACTTTTTCTACATCACATTTGTATGTTTGTATGTCTTTTCTACACTGTCACTACGGAAATGTTTGTATGGTAAACAATTTGCTCGCCCGACTCGAAGCTCTCTCGCCATACTCGCGGTTGTTCATTACAACTCACATAATCATAGTAGAGATAATGAATATGATGATGCTTATGGCTGAAACACGCACTACATTGCACTACAATGCGAACGATATGCGTTGTTGCCATTTTGCGATCATCATCATTATTTTTGCCCATTTGCATGAATTAAAATCCAAATATGTACTTTATTATTATTGCCTTATCGATGCATAAAAATCGCCAGTTTATGACGCGATCCGATTAAAGATTAAACGTAAAATGGCTGCAAAGATCTTGAAGTTGCTGCTATTTTTTTTTTCTCTGTCTCTCTATTTGTATCGTACTGGTACCGTGAACTCAACGTGTCTATTTTTGTGTTGCATTGCCGTAATGCACTCAATTGCAATACAATTTATTGATTGGCAACTTAAACTGTAATTTCATGTATATCACTTTTAGGGAGAGAGAGAGAGAGAGAGAGAGAGAGAGAAAGAGAGAAAGAAAGCAAAATAGAGGCGGCAGTAATAAATGGGCAATTTATCGTCGACTTTTATTGATGTTATTACATGATGTTAGTGAAAGGATTTATATACATATATATATTGTTTTTCTCTTGTAGCAGCAACATTTTATGCCGTGATTCCTATCGCGAAATCTTACGATCCAATTTATTATTGGTTCCGTACGTACATTAGATTAGTGTTATCCGTTTTAAAAAATGATTATTATTCGCGAATTCCAGCCGAGAGAAAATGTGTGTTAGCGCACATTAAAAATGATCAGAATACGTGTGCTCACAAATCCAGCATTCGGTCCTAGATTTTTTTTTTTGATGACAAAACATTTGCTTTCTCCGTTAGTTTCAGGTAATTTTTTCTACAGGCGTGTATATATTCCGAAAAATCAGATCGCACACAAAATATTTTCTCATCGTTGTCAGATATTGGAACAAATACCGGCTTTTGTAAATACCAATAAAAACATTCATTCAATCGTGTCACACATAAATGGAAATTTCATTGCATTCACTTTGGATGCAGGAGTGGAGTTCACCTGTATTTGATTTTGGCTTTGAATCAATTGGAAAAAAAGTATTGCTATTTTGTCTCTTTGTAAAAGCCGTTCATCGATAAACTGCGATAAACAAATCAAGTTTATTTTAACGGTTCAAAACAATGCTGATAAAAATGTGTTTATTGTTGACTATTGCGTTTTCTCGGTCGATGATTTGCTGATGGCACTAAAGCGCCAGCTAACTAACAATTTCAATTTCGTCGCATAAACAAACGTATTTTTTACCAAACAAATGGAAATAGGATTGCTACACTTTAATTACAAATTCAATTGTGTCTTACTTTCCTATAAAACGTGCAATCAACGCAAACCACAGTTTTTATATTGCCAATTTTGACGCATACACACGCACACATCGTGCAATGCAAAAAATTTGTTTATATAAATTGCGCGCACAAAGATATTTTGTTATGATTGCGGTTTCATGTGAGCACATATCCCGGTTTGTTTGTTGTTATTATTGATTTCGACGGCTTTTTTTTCAAAAGTAATTCGTTATGGATTTGGTCTATTTACTATGTATGTGTCTGTGTTGATGGAATCGATATTATAAAAACACAATTGTTGATAAGAACAAATAGAAAGTCATAGAGCGTACGAAGTATGCGGAAAGCTTTAATATTTGTTATAAATATGAATCACAAAAAAAATGAAAGTTATAATCGGTTATTTTTGAGAACACAGCGTTGGTATATTATGCGATAAAAACGAACTTGATAAGAGATTTCGTTTAAATGATAATTGGTTTTTTTTTCGTTCTTTTCGTCATTTACCGGTAGCTAACGCATACAGTCATATTTGAATTCTACGAAATAAAACACGTGTGATTCATTCCGATTCCGTGTTTCATTGTGTGCCGGTAAACTAGACGGTCGCATTAAATAATTAAGAATAATTACTGGGCTAGAGTTTGTGTCTTGCTTCTTTGTTTTATTTAAAGCAACAATTCCATCGAAAAATGACAGTGCGTTTGTTTGACTGCTTATTGTTACGCTTCAATGACTAACCGAAAAAAAAAATGTATGTTTTCCCTTTTCATTCGGGTGACCCGAATCGCGAGTTAAAAACAAATGGATTTTCATTGAACATATGCCGATTACATGACGAATGAGTATGACGCGTTGGCCATTGGGTTTTCTGTTTGAGTGCATATTTAGATCGTGAATTCCATACAGCACCACAGTATGATATAATGCAGGTGAAGGTGTGCTGAATGTATATACAATAAAGGGAAAGCACAACCAAATACAATTCTAGTCACTTCAACTTCGTCGATGTGGTCATTTACCCCATTTCAAGCATATGTAGATTAGTTTCAGTCGATGTTTCGTTTTTCGTTGTTCTATCACTATTATATGTCCCTCAATGACTAATATTAACTCTTGAAATCGATCGATTTTGAATATTCTTGTATTATTTCAATTGAGTGTGGCAAATGAATAACAACGTTCAATCGGAATAGAATGATTTTGAATGGATAGAGGAAATCGGAATGTGATGTTGTTGTTTTGTATCAATTGAATCGATAAAAAACACTTCACAACATTGAATAACTTGATGGAAAAAACTATACTCAAGATATGGTAAGTTGATTGACTTGACTGAGCTGACGAGTATTCCCTTTGGTTTTCTCGTTTATTTTTTTATTTGGATTGTTTTACAATCTGAAACACGCAAGAAAAACGATGCAAAGTAGAACGATGGCCGAATAAAAAAATCACTCACACACATAGCATCATCATCATCATCGTCATGGAGTGCGGAAACGAACCAGAAAGAAAACGCTACCGTTTTATTTCATTAAATATTATGCGCATTTTGTTGCCGTTGACACCAATGAATTGAAACGCTGATATTTCTGCGCACACTCGCATGAACATCGCAATTCAATGGTTATTGGTGATGCAAATGAGGCCTCTTCACTGCCAAATACATTGATACATTATATATACCGGGCCAGACGAAACCATATTGACAATGAGAGAAAAGGAGAGCGGCACACAAACAGAGGGAAAGACAAACTGAATTTGAATATAAATAAATCGGTTGGGTAACCAGATTCAAGATGCAATGCAACACTTGCAATGGCAAACAAATCCGAATTCGATTCCCATGTACTTTTGAGAGAGAGATGCGCTCACAGTACACATATACATACGACACGATATGACACGGCACGACAAACGACCTGGAAATATCAAATTATCAGATCGTATAACAGCAATGCGACCAAAGATGGTGAAAATCAAAACAAAAATACCTACAATTGGCCGCTTGTGTGTTTTGTCTGTCGAAAAAACGTGCATTTCGAATAAATCAACGGAGATCATTGATCATCAAACCAATAATAAATTTTGTATGCAAATGTTTACCATATATGTGGATATTTTCGCAATGACGCATAAAATCAAATGTACACACATATCTCTCTGTGTTCATCTGCCTCTAACGGTACATACCGGATTCATTCGGCTGCGCGCATAATTCTTTTTTTTATTGATTTAGAATATCAAAGTCTCTCTTTTTATGGATTAAATTCCGTTCAACGTTGGTTGTCTTTCTCAGACTTAATTTCCACCACATTTTCATTCGACGTTGATAATGTCATTGATGTTCACAACTTTACTGGATTTTTATAGGCTTCGAGCATTGATAAAATTCCAGACAGAAGATTTATTTGTTTAACTATCAATTGGTGTTGTTATCAAAAACTTTTTTTTTGGAATTGACATTTCTGGACATATTTTATTGATTGTATGTTTTTAAGATTATTTTTTTATATGAAATTCGAATGCTTTTCATTCATTTTGTGGCATATGTCATTTATGTATATTTTTTTAGCCAAAACATTTCCCAGCGAATATTATTCATAATAAAAATGTGTACCTTCAGACGTGACACTTAATAAATGAATGCATATTCAAACATTTCTTTGTGTATATTTAGGACTTTGAACCATACGCATTCACACTGTGCCGCATATGATCAAGTACCTTATATTTTTACCTTATTTGTGTTCTTATATTTAGCTTTATTTTAATTTTGTGTTTTGCTAATTTTCTTTTATCGATGATTTGAGTGGAAAGAATTCAAATAAAAGAAGGTATGTTTTTGTTCAGATATGTTATCTTTTGCACACGGTAGTATGAATAACACGAACGGATAAACGAAGAAAAGAAAGAACCGAACCATAAAATATTCCAAATATGCAAGATACTTTATGTATCCTTATGTGCAAAAAACGTTTGCTGTATGTTTATTCAAATATTTTTGTTAATTTGAATGTTGAATTCAGAACACAATTTCAACAAATAAAAAAAATAAGTAAGTACACTTACTTGCTTGAGCTTCTTTCGTTTTCAAGTCCCACGTTGAATCGCGTTGAAGTCATTTTGATATCTTGTTGGTTAGATCGTTCGTCAAAAAAAAAATGTCACAATTATAAATTTCTTTTAAGAAAAAAGCGCACACGATTCACACTGAATTTGATTTAAAAAAATAAATTAAAGCAAATTGCTTTAAAATGATTCGAAATCTCAATAAAATTGGCTTTGAAATATGAAATAAATGTTATTTCTCGTTATTATTTCCTTGTCAAAAGTAGTTACAAATAGAAACACGATACAGCTAACAGAAAAAAGGACACAACACACCGAACGCACGAATATGTATGAGAGAAAAGAACTCAATGCTTCAATACAGATCCCCGTTTTTTTCCAACGAAACTGGATTTTGAATTAAACAAACCGTCCAAAACGTATTGTGAAATTGCACACATAAACATGATCTACAACCACTGTGTGTCGCACGGCGAATTGCACACACTCACAGTTTTCATACGGTGGGGATAAGAACTTCAACAATATTGTTCACAGTAAAGCGGCGAATTACATTTTATAGCACAATTTTAAAATTATTTAATACGAATTACGTGGGATAAAATAAAATACCAAAAGTATTTTTTTAAATGAAAATATTTTCAATTTATCTCTTTCTCTCATAAGAAAATGTCCATTGATCCATTTAAGTTTTGAAATGAAAATATTGATGAATTGTTTTTGGCGAATTTCGTTCGTATCGGACAACACTAAACTTCAGTTTCGGAGGAGAAATGACAACATACATGTAAATAACTGAAATGTCATTCAAGTGAAACAATCTGAAGCCGTCTCTACATCACGCGACCGACCGCCACTTTTTTTTTGTTGTTTAATCGAACAATTGAAAGAAAAAACGAGGTAAAATAGTAAATTTTAACATTTTTTAATAAGAAAAAATATTCACTTATATTACTTTTCTAGTTTTTCTCTAACAATATTGGACAAAAATAAGCGCAAAATATAAATCGCGTACTATCGCATCGTTGTGTGTGAATGACACTTAACACCCATTTTGTTTTTTTTTTTCTTTTATTATTGTCAATTCAGGTTTTTTTCTCGTCCGTGATAGCATTGCCAACGCCATAGCATAACTATTACAATTATTTGGTGTGTGTAAAATTCAAAGTGGTTCTCGCTGATATATGTTTTTCGTCAACATTTTTCGACAGAGTCAAAAAGTGAAATTTTACCAATAATATGTGGTGCAAATTGGATAAATTCCATGGTCCGAACGAAGAAAGCAAAACTAAGAAAATTGAATAAATAGAGAAGAGAAAGTGTACCATAGAAGCAAGAGAAAATTTCGATTACAACGAATATTCGGTGTTTGGCGGTAGAAATTGAACAAAAACGAAAAACATGCTCAATCAAATGGCATCATCGAGTGGCGAACCGAAAATGTACTCGGCCACTTATGTGGAAAACTATTTGGATTCCGTGGAAAATCTGCCGAACGACGTACAACGTTATTTGTCACGAATCCGCGAAATTGATTTGCAATCCAAAGGTATGGTGCGCTTGGATTTTTTGACATTTTACAATTTTATCATGCTAAAACATACGAATCATTTCATTTCAATGTTTTTTTATGGTTGCAGTTCATTTGCGTGACGTCGATTATTACTATGACCAGTGGTCAAATTGTTCAACGAATGAACTTGAGTCGACAACAAATGTCCCATCGAAACGTGCCCGTGCAATGGCACGCATTCAACAAAATCTGATTGCGGCTCAGGAATTGGGCGACGAAAAATTACAAGTTGTGACACAATTACAAGAAATGATTGATCAAAAGACGCGCCAATTGGATGCCGATTTCAAAAATCTTGAATATGCGGATAAGGATGATCCAGCTTTAATGGATACATCACCAAAAGATATGCATCCATCCAGTCCATCATCATATGTGCCTTCATCGACTATTCAACGAAGTGACGAGGGTTCAGGCACTTCAACATCGATGAATAACGAACACAATGGTGGCAATTCAAATGCCGGTGCTATTGCCAATTCGACCGGTTCAAATAATGCTGATCGCAATTCGAAGAGATCACGACGTGCACGGGACAATGCATCACGCAGCGGTACTAATTCAAATAATTTCTCAAGCATGTCAAAAACATCACAAATCGATTTGGCCAGCGATTCAAATAATTCAAATTCAAATCAATCGAACAAAAATGCCGGCACCTCCGGTCAACAATCAAACGCTGGCGGTTCGTCCAATTCAAATCGCAAACAAGGAAGCAATAATGGTGGCGGCAATAACAACAACAAAAAACGTAAACGTAAATCGGCACGTTCACAAAATGGCGGCAATGGTAAGAGTGTTTATTTTATATCCATACGCTTGTTATTTGTGTGCTAATTTTTTGCATTCTGTTCACAGGTGGAAATAATTCAAACAATTTGGGCAGTACCAGCCAAGCAAATGCACGTTTACATGATGAAACACCACCGCTCGAAGAAACCATCGATCCAGATGAACCAACTTACTGTTTGTGCGACCAAATTTCATTTGGCGAAATGATTTTGTGTGACAACGACTTGTGCCCGATTGAATGGTTCCATTTCTCATGCGTTTCGCTCACCACAAAACCGAAAGGAAAATGGTTTTGTCCGAATTGCCGTGGCGATCGGCCGAGTGTTATGAAGCCCAAACAGCAGTTCCTGAAGGAGTTGGAACGTTACAACCGTGAAAAAGAAGAAAAAACATAAATATATTCTTTTCTTGTTGTTGTCATCGTCAATACGGCCAATTCATATGCACGAACTCACAATGTAATAATTTCATTCAATTTTCTTTTTTACTTTTCACACATTTCGGTTTATTCACACACGATTGATATTCTTTTTTTTTTTTTTGGTACAAAATCATTTTTATCATCTTTTACAAATGAAATTTGGTGTTTAAATCAAATCAAACGGGAATTCTATGTATCACTATCAATAGTCTATCATTGTAATTCAATTAAATGCTACGAATTTGTATCGATCATCCTAGAATAATTTTGAATGAATTTCATGAAGGATTTGAGAAACACCGCAATTGTTTAACTTTTCTTTGTTTACACTTGTTGTTCTTTAAGACAATTAAAATTCATCTTTTTGCATTTGTATCATTGACTTTAGTCGCCATATTTTCATTTCACGATTCGAAACTTAAATTTTTTCTCATTATTGAATAAAAACAAAAGAGGAAAAATTAAATCAAGAAGAATTTGTGTCCATTTTATTGACATTAGATGTAAGAAGACACTTTTATCATGTACATTTCTCTCGAAATTCAAATAAATGGTTCGTTTTTATAAATACGTACTTACAATACAATGCCTTACTTCTATTTCGTTTAGATAATTCACTATAGTGATGAATGAAATTATGCTTATTGTTTGAAGTAATATGTGGAACAGTTTATTAAACTCAATTTAGTCTCTTTTAGAACCAATAAATCGCTCACTCTTACACTGTTTAGTGAAATTTAATGCGGCTGATTCAATAGATACTCTAATAAGTCTGAGATAAAATTGGGAATTTTCGTCGAAATTCTGGTAATAAAAAGACAAACATTATTCCTCATAGATTCTGACAGGACGGCTCTCAAATGTCGTTTATTTTACACTAATTTACTTCAATTCTTCTGCTGATATGATCAAGCACCCCAAGCAAATTTATCACTTCAAACTTTTGACTCGTGGCGCAAACTACAGCAACCATAAAAAAATCTAATGATGCAGAAACCAGAAAGTTTCACTTTTCAATCCACTCTCAAACGGTAAGTTTTCCAATATCTTTTCATTTGGCCATAATATTCTCAGTCGAAAAAAGCGTATCAGTTTGCCCCCACTTCCCCTATGTATTTTTTTATTTCTCATCATATGAATGAATAAATAACTAGAATACTTATTTTCTAGTATTATTTTCAGGAATCGAAATAATTATATAAGGTTTTCCCAAATGTGCTCCGTTTACATTCGAATCTCAAATACAATTATCATATGATTGCTCGAGAATAAATGTGAGGCTTCTACTCAAATTTTATTGAAATACAACACCGCCATACAAAAAGTGCCCAATAGTCGGTGTTAGTATGGTGGTGCTACATTTCTATAAAATTTGAGTAGAAATCATATATAACTTACATTTTCGGTATTACCTATTTGTGAACTCTGCACTTACTTGATGACTCTTTCACATACTTGAAAAAGTAAAATGAAATGAAAATGCAATAGATGTTGACTTTGATTCTAATTTCATGTTTATTTTATGGCCAAATATAACCATAAGAGTTTAATAATAGTAATATACAATATTTTAATATTTATATAGATAATAATAATAATGTTCTTGTTTTTGTAAGACTATGGTTTTAACCGAATTTATTTTGCATGCAGTTCATAAATTGTATTTTACCTAAAAAACAAACAATGTTTTGAAATTCAGTTCCATGAGAATTTGTATTTTGTGTCTAAGTAAGATCTACACATTTTTGAGTGTTGCTGATTGAGTAATTAAATATTTTATGTAGAATTTAAATGTGAATATTTTGGCATTTCATGCTATTTGTTATGCTATAAGTTTGTATATATTTATATTATGTAAGGTATCCCATTGTTTCATATCAAATTCTAGGACCGTTCCCAATAGTTCGTTCATTTGGCTTGTACTTGATTAAATCTCTCTGTTCACTTGGTAACTTTGCGAGCCAAGTAAATGGAATTAAACAAGAATTTTTTTTCTTTCTTTTGAGCATTTCACCGTAAGAATTTTCACGTTTTACATTTATTTATATATCCTTTTGAGCGATTTCATTTTAACAATTAAACTTACAGTATAGCACAAAAAAGCTTAAAAAAATCAACCACAGACAAGTAAATCTTCACTCAAACGGATTTCACAAAATGAATCAATTTAAAAAAAATCCAAAAATGAAAATGCCTAAATATTTTTCTTTTCTTCGGAATACTTCTTTTTTATGTATAAAAACACAAATTGAATTAATCGAGAGAAAAAATACGTATACTATTTAATATAAATACAGAAACTTTGGTTTGGCAACTCCATCTCTTTTGCTCATTGCTAAAAGAGAATTGAATTTAAATGAGAAACAAATATTTGTATCATGCTTCATTTGGCTAGTTCACACACGTACACACTGTGAACTTTGTTATACATGCGAAATCTCAATTTCTACATTTCAATGGGAGGGGACACTCAAGATTTACATAATTTCATCTTCTTAGTTATTCTTAGTCATAAATCTATTCTAGTATGTACAAATTTTTAATGCTAAACATTTTGCACGAATTTATGGTTCTTTCTATTTTGGGTTGTTCTTGTTGGAATTTATCCATTAATTTCTAATGAGCACTTCATCTTTCTCTTTTTTTAGTTATTTTGTCTTAGCGAATGTAGATTTTTGCAATTTAAAATGAGATTCTTCAACTTATTTCCATTGCAACTGCAACAAATTAATGAGATAAACATTTTTTATGTGTTTTTTTTTATTCGAATTCCTGATCCGTTCACATTTACAAAAAGTCATTGAGTGGCTCTTTGTTCAGAGGCTCTTGTATCTGTAACAGATAAGAAATAATACAACATTTATACGTATATATACATAAAATTGTAATTAAATTACAGTAATTTCAATAAAATGATGAAAAAATTGTATTGCAGTGACGCGTTATTAAATGCTTACCTCATCGTCTAGTGAACTTGCGTACACTCGTGTCGATAGATTCTTCTCGAGACTGAATTGATCTTCAGTGGTTTTCCGATAAACTGGATTATCGAAATTCATTGACGTCAGCGTTCGATGTTGAACATAGTACCGATAAATCCAGAGTAGAAGCTATTCCCAAAAAAAAAAAACAAAAGAAAAAATAAATTCACACAAATGAGAGGTGTTACACAATTTCTGAATAAAATCATGAAAAAAATCAAATCAAATGACGTATTGCAAATTATAACCAAAATGATGTGGTTTGTTTATGAGCAAAAAAAAAGTCATACATCAACAAAGATAAAAAAATCTTATATGATGTACAAAGCTAAACAAGTAATAAATCACAAAATACAATTTCATCGGAATCAGTGGAATAAAATATGATAAAACTCACCACACTAGCAATGATTAATATCACGGTGAGAATGGCAATAGCAACGAGAGCAACTGTGCCAGAATCATTTTCAGCTGATTTTGGCAATGATGGCTCCGGACTTGATTGGTTGTTTCCTACTTTAACTACAAGCAAACAATCGAAACAGATTAAGATTAATTCACTTTCTATTCAAATATCTTTCGACAAAGTGTCTCACCATCGGATGTTTTCTCACCATCTTCGATGCATGTTTGTAAATCGTCGAGAAGTTTCAATCCAGTTGGACAAGCACATGAGATTTTAGCACTTCGTGCCAGTATTTGTGGTGCTGGCAAGCACAAATGCGAACAATGGCCATTAACAGCAGAACAATGATTAATACCGTCTGGTTGTCGGTATGGATGATATACATGGATGGTCATTGGATGTTGAAGCTGAAGAAAGAATTTGACATATCACTCACATATAAATACCAATATATTTTTTGTATTGATGCGATTTTTCGTATAATCCAAACAAAAAAAACGGTACTCACCATTCGCATAGCGGTGATTGCTTGAATGTCGCTACCATTGAATTTATTTGCTTTGAAAACAGCTGCCTTATCCCAATCAGTCCAATAAACATAGTCTTCAAATGTTGTTATTGAAAACGGATGCCGCAAATATTCCGACGAATATAAAATCACACGTCGATCGGATCCATCATAATTGCACGATGAAATGATATTTAATTTTGCATCGACCCAATAAATACGATTTAATACCAAATCAAGTGTGAGCCCGTTTGCCCATTTGATGTTGTTTTGGATAATAGTTTGTCGTTGAGTGCCATCCATGCCAGCACGTTCGATGCGCGGATTTGACCCCCAATCGGTCCAATACATTAAACCACGAATTGGATCCAATGCTAATGCTCGCGGTATTTCAATATCATCTTTGATTAGCTCTTTTGTCATTGTACCATCGAAATTTGTAACATCGATTGCACATCGCTTTGTGTCCGAATAATAAATATGATTATAAATCCAATCAACGGCCAAACCATCAGCCGTTACTTTTGAATCTTTAACAACCGCTATTCTTTCGTTGCCTTCATCAATTGGCGCTTTATAAATCCGTTGTTCAGATACATCGCTCCAGAATACCATGCCCGTTCTGAATACATAATCTAGGGCCGTGGCCGATTTTGTATTGTTCACAATCGATGTCATTTCATTGTGTTCCAATGAGATTTTTCGTATGTCATGTCGACGAGCAAATAACAATGATGCATGTCCTTCGGTCGCTTTGCATTTATTGTGATGTCTTGGATCTCGCATGTACCCTTTTCCACATTCGCACTGCGAATATATTGAGCACAAAATGTAGAGAAGAAAAGAAAAGAAAATAACAACGATAAGAATATAGAGCAAAAAAAAATTCCAACTAAGTAACAAAGTACGGTCTACAGTCAAGGAGAAAACATTTCAAAAGCTTTTACTTTGTTTCACTTTGTTTAAAATCTTTGGAGAGAAAAAAATGTATGCACATGTACACACACTCGCACTCATCCACCATCATCCAACTATTTTCATCAATGCAAAAACTTTTCCTAGCTATTTTCTTTGGCACACGTAACGCACATTATAGATAGAAAATAGATGTGAAACTAGAGAGAAAACAAATTACCTTATATGAACCAATTTCGTTGGTACAAAATTGTGAGCATATTCCTGGAGTTTTGCATTCATCAATGTCAACGCATGTGGTGTTCTCTTGAAGCTCATAGCTGTTAAGGCGAGAAAATGGTCAAATGTAAAGTATTTTCAAATTCAAGCTGCGCATCCATGGTTTTTGGGCGTTTGTATATACGTGTGTGTGTGTATATATGAAAAGTTTTTTTTATTGCTTTGCTCACATGTTTTAATTTCACTGGGGCAAATGCGAAAAGCAATAGCTAAACAAAAATAACAAACACAAAATAGCAAACTATTCGTTTGGATTTCACTCACCCATTTCGGCATTCACAATAAAATCCAACTGGTGTATCAACACATTTGTGTTGACAGCCTCCGTTGTTGATTTTACATTCATTCACTGAACATTTGTCTTTTGGTTCATCCTGGCCCCCTGGACAGTCAACTTTTTGGTCACAAACTTTGGCATTTGGTATGCACATTCCACCACCACAATCAAATTCGGTTGCTCGGTCGCATTTTCTTATCGCTGCGGCTGTAACAAAACAAAAAACAACAAAGTTTTATCAAATAAACCACAAAAAATAAATGGATCACAAGTGAAAGGTGAGTGAAAAGAGAAAGAGAGGGAGTGTGAGCGAAAGAAAGTTAACTCCATTGATTTGATCAAATTCAAACAGAATTCCAAGTATTTTCAAACTTACTGCAGTTGAATTCGTCGCTGCCATCACGACATTCGGCCAAACCTGAGCACATCAAATGCCCGGGAATGCATGTCAAATCATTGCATTGGAATTGGTCATCGCGGCAAGTCTTATTTTGGCAATTCTCTAAACTTTCGTCGTCCCCATTCGGACAGTCAATGCCCCCATCGCAAAGCCATTGTCTTGCGATACATGTTAATCTATCGTTGCACAAATAATGGTTTACTGGGCAAATTGACAATGAAATGTGTTGCGTATATGTGCAATTCTGCAATGAAAAATATTAATGCGGTTATTACGCTTTTATGTATCAAACGGAAGTATATAAATATCGTACACGTTCATCAGAAGAGTCAGGGCAGTCGGGGTCCATATCACAAACCCATTTCTGTGTAATACAAGTTCCATCGCCGCATTTGAAATCGTCGTCTTTGCATCGTTTCTTTGGACAGTTCAATTCGTCGCTTCCATCTCCACAATCTGAGATATGAAAAATTCACAACATTCACAGAAATTCAATATTCAGCGGAAATGTATTCACGCTTTTCAAACATCAACAATCACAAGAACAACGAAATAAATGCTAAAAGACTTACCATCGTCTGCATCGCAGCGCCAGCGCGACTATACAATTTCATGAAAAGAAAATCGAAATGTTGATAAATTAATGCAAATCATAATAATAATAATCCGAACATAATCCAAAAGATTGGTAGTTGAAGCAAATATCATACCTGAACACATCGACCGTTTGCACAAGTAAATTCATCGGAACGACAAGTTTGATCTGCATAAGAATCAACAGAAAAGTTTTCGTAAATGAATTCGATTTTCACACACCGAAGTGTATGGTACAAAGAGTGAAGAGTAAATGCAAATAATATAGATATTCGAAAAGCTTGCTTTGAAAAAGTTTTCAATGCAACACTCACTGCATGTTTGTTCGTCGGATCCGTTGGAACAGTCTGGATTTCCATCGCACACCCATGACATGGGAATGCATTCACCGTCAGAACTTTTGCATGTAAACTCTTCGGGCGTGCAAACATGTTTTTCTGTTTTGGCGTCGGGTGAGATATGCATATCGAAACAGGAACCGGAACGAGAGAACGAGCAAAATAAATACATAGAAAAATTGAAAGAAAGCAAGAAAGAAACAGAGAACAGATATGATGTAGTTTGTTTGCAAAATTTTCACAGATTAATTCATAATTTATTCAATTCGCCTGAATAATTTAAAATTGTTTTTCTATTTTCGGCGTGCAACAAATGTATACATACAATAACACTAATAATAATAATAAAAATTGGGGCGAGCACAGTTTTCATGTGACACATGAATGGAGGAGCCAGAGAGAAGAAGATGAAAATGCGATTATACTTTGAATGGAAAAATGCCATAAACATAAAATCATGAAACTAGCAGCGATAATAATAGACAGATCTCGAGAACGAATATAAATACAAAATGTAATTGAATTTGATAAGTGGGTATGGGGCTTGGTTGAAATCAGTAGCCAAAATAGGAATTGCAAATGTACATTGAACATATGCATATCACATGTCATACTTACTGCACACTTCAGGATCTTCGTCCGAACCATCAGAGCAATCATTTTCTCGATCGCACAACCATCGTCGGAGAATACATCGACCATTTTTACATTTAAATTTATCAGCATCACATGGCTTATCTGTAAAATGAGAATTTGAATTATTCATTAAAAAACAATCTCTATTTTTAAAAAAGCAACACAAAAAAAAATGGAATATCAAATTAATTCATTATATTTTTGCTTGTCGGTTGTTGGCACTTTTCATGTTTGGCAAATTTTTATATTTGTTGTTTTTCATCACTTGATTTACAAAGCGAAAACCGGAAAAAAATGAATATTCCAATCAAATTAATAAAATCCCGGTTTATTGGCTCATATATAGCGCGAAAAAATTGCTTCATCAAAATTGACCTCAATGTTACAAATTTAATTGATATTATTATTTTGATTGAGTTTCAGGCTATAACTCAATCAGATACACTCGGTAAATTATATGTACGTACTCTCAACTTTTCAGTTCATTGTTCTGCGATTAAAATCGAATTATTTTGCGTGAATTTCAATTTGTTAGCATCTTTTTTAGCTTTATATTTTGCCATTTCGTTTCGCTGTGCGAATAGAATGTCTAATTATAGAAATTTGCATACGATCACTCTGATACGTAGCAAAATTTTGTCATGATAAGGGAGCAATGGAAGTTGGAGGATGGATATAAAACCATTATTATTCGCTGCACACACACACTAACACCTATGCATAAAAGCAAAATTCGATTTCGTTACTAATTATGAGCGCTGCAAGTTTCAAACTTACCTCCGACCGCATCAACTGTGGCAACGAACCCACCACCAATCACCATTACTATGGTAACAAAAACTACTAATTTCATCATCACCAACTTTTCTCAGAACTTTCTATCGAATGCGCTCGTTTGTTTTTTTTTTTTTTATTCGTGAATTCTCTTTGTCCTTAGATTGTTTCTTTTTTCCTTTATTCCCGACAAACACACAAACCCACCAGCACAAAAACTAATTAACTATTGCAAAGAGCAGCACAAATGACTGTAAATAGACTTCAACTTCAGTTGTACAATATAATTATAAACTGACGACTCAAGCGATTCTATGTTCAGAATTAGACGATACTGAATGGAATCGTACAAAGAATCGTAAATATCTCTCTAACAGTAAGTTTTTTTTTTGCTATTACACCCGACAACAACATGTAGATTAAAAGAAATACAAGTGACGGAACACGAGAGAAAAAAACTGATCGCTAATCGGAATGTTTTTAAATTGGTTATCTTTTCCATTAGTATCGACATTAGAAAATAAAGTAAAGCGTCGCCATTTGAATTCTACTTGGCGAGACGATCGCACACAATTATTATCGTAATCGCAGGCCAAGCTGTCCATTCAATCAAACTACATATCTGACGCAATTTGCAAAATGCAAGCAAAACACAAATATAACGTTTTTACATAGTCTAATCTAATAAGTGTCAACATAAAAAAAAAGACAGAATCAGAAATCTGTGTTCTAAATCAGAATGAGTTCGTGCGACGCGACATTTATAGCTATACTTTTACTTTCTATAAATATATTACAAGTCATTATATAAAATATTGAAACGCAAAATATTATACAATTTAATTGGTTAACTTCACAGGAGATGAAGGTGGAGAGTAGAAATATGTGGCCAGACGATTGAAATGGGCACAGAAAAAAAAAATAGAACCTGACCTTAAAGTTGGCACGAAATCAAAATTTCCGTTTGAAAGTTGATTGGAAATTAGCGACAAAATATTTGTGCAGACAAACAACCCTGAGAAGCCTGAAGAAAACCAATTAATTTGCGATTGGATGCGAATTTTTTTTTTTTCACTTTTGTTCGTTACAAATTGTAATAGAAGCACAGCGTAAGTCACAACATCACTCTTTTTCACTCGTTGGTTTTTAGCACTTGATTTATTTTGAAAAGTGATAAATCTATTGCATTTAACACGACAGTCGGACGGTTATCGAATTGACTTCGACCATGATCAGTGCTCGTATTTATACTCGGTTACACGGACCAATGGGGTCCAAATGCACAATCTCGTTTCTTTCATCCCGAATCGATATTAAATGGACGCGTGTTGTGAACAGAAAACAAACTTCCGATTGAAAACACACTGCAACAAATTGATGTGGAATGGTTGCTATTGGAGTGAAATCGACTATACTCGACCCAATGAAATTTAATTACATGTGTTGAGCGCGTATATTGTAGTGAGAAAAAGAGCACTAGCGATAGCGACCGATAGACGTTTAACATGAAACATCACGAGATATAACTTTTGTATTGGTTTCGCTTTGTGTTAAAGATTGTGTGCCTTATATACCGTAATAAATTTACAGCAAATCGTTTTCAACGACCGTCTGTCAGCATTTTACCGAAATATTGTTGTTCGATTTATTCGAACGTAAATTGCAACGAAAAATCAGTAATAAAACGCTTCCCCGTCTCCAAAAATGTTCCGTTTGAAAAAATCTTTTATATTTTTCTCCAACCCAAAACGAACATTTTTTTTTTGTTTTAAACATTCACCCAAAATGTATGACGAATTGAGAGGAAAAATCGAACGGTTATGGTGTGGGATTGTAGTCTCCCGCAAAAGGGATTAATGTGGAAAACATTATCAATCGTCTGCCACCAAGTGGAATTAATGAAATTTAAATGATTATAAAAGCGTTATATTCTTTGTGTCACAATTAAAACTGAGCATGTTTATTTTTATGGGTTTTTGTAAAGTACGATGCATTGATGGAACGAACAATGGGCTCTTATCGCTCTCTCAACTTTGTTAAACCATATTTGCGAAGTATCGTTGACATTCCACTGCAAAACCATCATCGTGAACATGGGTAAAAGTCTGTAGAGGAAAAGGACATGTATTAAATGAAGGTTGGGAATGTGTTGCTCGCTCATATAAGTTTGATGTTGATATTACATACAAGACGATGACATTGCATTATCAATTATCGAAGCAACTCATGCATTATCAACACTTTTAATATTATGTGTCACTCTATACTCGATGTGCGCACCCAAGCGCATACACACACAGTCAATATCTTTCAAGCCGTAGTGTACTCAAAATACTAAACAAACACATTTCATTTCAAAGTGCTCATACTACATACCGACGTCTCTGACTATGTCATGCTCTTAATTTGTGTCACGAAGAATATTGCATGGAATTGAGAGGGAGAGAGAGAGAGGACGCGTACTTTAGACAATGCTTTCGGCATTATACTAATAAACCAATACGAAAATGTGTGTCTGTGCGTGGGGCAAGGATCGATGCTGAAAAATATCTGCAATAAATTAACATTTTTCATTGAAACATTGTACGTTCGCGTCGAAGAGTGGCACGAGAGTAAGAAAGACAATTGTGTAACAATGTCAATGGTAAGTGGTTTTTGTCTTTATCGGCTGATACATAAGTAGCTCGACAAACTGTTTGCCACAGCTAACACAACTCTACTACATAAAAGATGAAACTCGTTTATTCGTAATGAAGCATCTGCCTTGATGGCAATTTCGCCTGGTGAAGAGAGTAAGCTTGTTGCAACATTTTTTTCCCCATTGACTTTTTTCTTATTCTTCTTCTCTTAAAACAATCTAACATTCTAATTGCTACTGCGTGCCTTGATCACATTCGACGACAGTGCAAATTGTCTCTCTATTATGTTAAAATTGTTTTGAATTTTCTTTGAAATGGAATCAGTAATGTTTCTTTAATAATGATAACGATAACGATGATGAAAACATAGCTCGTTGGTTATTTTACTTTGTATGGCAGCAATGCGCCCGTACTGATACTCGGTAGCAACACCACTGAATCCCATATATTCAACGGAATGACGGTATTGTATATGGTTGCGATTGAGCGCTTTTAATTGAATTTAACTAAACACCACGAGTTATGCTGCCACGTACGCGCTGAATAAATTATAATGCTACTGCTTCAATGCGCGTCTTACGTGTATTACGATGGATATGATGGTCTTTACACTGAAAAATCTTTATAAATTAAAATAATTTAACCAGAGAGCATGACTATCGTTTGATGCTTTCATCATTTTCGCTTTCGTTTCGTTGATTTTCCCATGCTCGGCGTTTCCGTTTATTTTCCATTTTCAAGTAAGTATCGTGCTAGATTCTATCTGAGTCAAACGCGTAGATGCATGATTCCTTTTATGCAGTTTAGCTTAAACAACGACCTCTTTTCTAAATTGATTTCCCTTCATTTTTGCAACGCAAAAATTGCACAAATTAATTTTAATATAATTTTTCCGCTGGGAAGATCCCAAGAGAAGGCGTTCAATGTGCCATAGTACTATCTCGCTACATGCTATTATTAAAATAGATGAAATGTTGGAGAATTTGTTGGATATAAGCACATAACAATTGATCGAAATGTTAGAGATTCACTTTGGCATGTTTGAGTAACGTAAAACATCTAATTAAAAAGCATTTTTTCTTCGTTAATTTATCTGTGTGTCATGTTAGATGGAGTCATGTTTGATAATGTCTTGCTTTTATATTCATGTTGAGTTCTATCGTATGATTTTATTACATCGAGTACATGAAAACCAATTAGTTAATGAATACACCGAAAATTGACGGAATATTTTGGTGAACTTCTCTCTATAAGTTCAATGACGCATGCCAGGAGCAGAGATCGCGCACATAATAATTAAGAAATTTTATCAATGCCATTAACACCATCATTATTATTACGCGAACAAATTTTATCGTTAAACATTTTTTTATCATGCGTCGCGGTTCAGAAATCAAAATAGAGTGCCGTTTTACATTATCTATAGTGAATTTTATATATATTTTTTTTATATTGATGTTAGTCATTTAGATATCAACATTGTAAATAATATTCGAAGCAAGACACCTTCTTGGAAATGAACATGGTCTCTCTTACCTAGTCTCTTACCCACTGCATGTTTACTTTGTATTTTTAACGGCTCTGTTTTTTAGAGCTTACATTTCATTTAACAAACGATGTGAAAATGTCCTGCGGTTTTGCAAAAGCGCAAAAAAAAAACGAAAAACAACAACCGTAAACAAACATCCGAAAGTGCACAGGCCGAGAGAAAAAAACACATTCCACAATATGTTTTTGTTGATTTAGGTCAAACATTTGGAATGGGACAGAGAAACTGAAGAAAATAAAATACGCAGCATAGCATACCTTTTATACGGCACTCTTTAGGATTTTCGTCCGATTGATCTTGGCAATCTATGAATGAACAAAAGCAAAATATTTTTATAGGTGCTGAAACTCGAGAGAGAAAAAAACCGTAGAGAAAAAAAATAAACACATTCTTACCGGGCTCTCCATCACAAACGAAGGATATATGTATGCAGGAACCGTCGCCGCATTGGAACTTATGGTCGTTGCACGGAACTGGATCCAATTTTTGCAATTTATCTAGAACAATGCAGAACGAGAGACGAAAAGAGAAACAAAACAAAAAGCACGATGAGAAAAAGTGTGAAAATATACCCCGTTGCTTTTTGAATCAATTTTAAAATAAATCCAATGAAAAAAAAACAGTTTGATGTAAATTCGATTTATATTTTCTATTGGTTTTGTCTGCTGTTACCGTTAAAAAAAAAGGTGAACTTTTATTGGACCAAATGGAATTATCGTATGAATTTTTGTGGTTTTGTATTTGGTTGTTTGGTTTGCAAATAAAAATGAAACGAAAGCCCTCTTCACATATTAATGCATAACTTTTTATCATAAACACTTTAGCTTTTCACTCCCCCAAATACTCATGAAAATACGTGAACGAAATATAAAACATAAAATTGTTTTTGGTGCGTTTGATCGAATTATGCGGAGGCCGTGTGTGTCGCACACATGCATTGGCAACTTCATCATCGTAATCATCATCAGTGTGAGTGGCGCTCATGATCGAAATTTATGGTTTCGCATAAAGTTTTTGATGGCTTTTGTATTGGCCCAAAAATTAAAAGAAAACGTGCTTCGTGCGGCGAATGATTTTTTTTTGGTGTCAAAACTATGAGCTCTTTTTACACTTTTCTCTGTTTCTAACGATGTCAACGAAAATAAAATCGTAAAAATGAGAACGAGAAGAAAAAGAGCGAGAAAAGAGATGCATTGAAGCCATATATCATGCATAAAAATCAAGACCGTTAAATGGTGACTTATTGTTATTAGATTGAATTTATTGTCTAATAATTCCGTTTTATTATTCGCTTACTTGACCGCATACATCAATCATACGTATAGGAATGAATCAGAAAGACAGTATATGCGAATCTATTTTCAACGTGTTTTCAAAGTGTATACTGTGTGGCGATTGGCACTTATCATCTTTTATGAACTGCTTTGTCATTTCAGGCGGTCATTCATTAAATCGTGCACGGAATTTCACCAACATTGGCAAAAAATCACACCATCCAATTTGCCTACATTCAGGATTCAGCGAGGCGACATCGTTCGTCAATAAATAATAAAATGCATAATGAGTTCTATGCAGCAAACGCTCCACACAAATTACACGCTGTTCTATCTCACACTGCTTAGCACTTTTTGTATGTGTGCAGGTAAGTACAATATATCGATCAAAGTGGATTTTCATCCCACATCTGTTCATTTAATTTATTTTTTGCACCATTAAATTGCGCCGTTGAAAATAAGCGCCACGTAACGACACAACATAATACATCAACAATAGGTACTATTTTGCCAACATCTAAATAAATACAAAAAATAAATTCAAATGTTGCGCAGTACTGTTGTTTTTCATTTGCTCTAGGGGCGGCGGTGATGCCGAAGAGCTTAAAAATAATAAACAACATGAATTCGCCAAAAACAGTATATTTTGCCATTTGAAAATAAAATATGAAGCAAACAAAAAACGGAACAAAAACAATATTATGACTAATTGGCTAAATGATAGCATCCATAACACTCAATTTGTTTTAAGTAATGATGTTATTACTTCGGATATTTCCTACTTTAGAAGTAAACGGTGTTTTCCACCTCTCTACATCTCTCTATTTCGCTCTATCGCACTCTTTGTTAAATACGTACATTGATTGCCCCATTGAAATTTGCACATCATCGGATTCTGAAATCAATTTGCGAAAATTTTATTCGTTCTCATTTTATTTGTGCAGTTCGTGTTGTTTTCTTTTTTTCTATTTTTAAATTGTTGTCAAATTGAATAATGACTTTGCTATTTTTGATTTTACGTGGAAAAGCGTTTTTGTGTTCACTCGGGTTTTACGTCAAATTATGTGCGTGAGAGGCCAACAAAAGCACCATTTTTTTTTTCATTTTCCATATACGACAAAATTGACGCAAATTGATGCTTTGCTCATACTCTAAGAAAAACAAGAAAAAAACAAAACAGCGAAAAAAATAATGTGAAAAGAATGCAAATTAATTAGTCATTCCAAACACACTCGAAAAAGAGGAAAAAAGGACACGTTTTGAGAAAAACAAAAGTATTTTCCAACATTCTTTTGGGCACAACCATAAAATCTCGCTTATCATCATTCAAACAAAAGGGTAAATTAAAACCTTTTTTTGTCCAATTCTATTGTGCTTACAGCCTATTTGGTATGTTTCCAAAAAAATATTTATGCAATTTGTTATTAGATCTGTTTGCAAAAAAAGGAGAGTGAGCACGAGCGAATGACAATGGTATCGCTTAAAATTTGGTACAATAGCAGAAGAAGAATAAAGAAGAAGTGAATAAAACAGTAACCAGAATTTTAAATATATAGAGTGACGAGCCAGGTGTACAGGATTTTGCTTCTACATTAAATGCGTCAACGAAGTAAATTCTGTGCGCGCATAACATGCAAACAAGTTAATCTTGCCCTATCCAATTTACTTCACATGTGATATCTTTCGCTGTTTTGCCCAACCAAAATGGCCCGTTTTTTTTTAAATTGTCGTGTAAATATTTTGCCTTTTCCTGGCGTTTATTACCATTACAAAAGGTAAAGCCGTTGTCCTTAATTTTTTTTTTTTTTATTTCAGCTTTTTTCGCTCGTGTAAACTGCAAAGATTAAACATTGAGGTACACGGTTTTTAGTTCGTTGCTAAACCATGATATCTGAACCAAATCAAAACAAATCGGAATTCAAGCGTTGACATTGTTTGGAAAATCCAAAAATATACATATTAATGCTGGCATATAGAAATTTATCAATGTTTATAACTGAAGGCGAATAATATGGCATAGACGTAAATATACTAAATATATATATACGTAATGTAATTTCATGCCAGACAATGTATAAGTCAACTATATGTCTTTGGCTTACAATTTCAGTTCACATGTAAGACGTGCACGGCACACACCAAGCGAAAACAATTTATTTTGTTAAAACACAAACAAACGAAAATTGCATGCATGTATTTGTCTCTGTGTTGTTATTTATACACATGTGTACCGTTTTCGGTTTTTCTGCTTGCCTTTGCGAAATTTGATTCTAAACATGAGACAAAATAAGCTTGTAAAAAAAAATTGCGAGCACGAGATAAACTCACTCGTACGATTTGTAATTTCCATGTAACGCACTGGCTTAACGTGTATTTTAATCTAGACGGCCACAAAACGACACAATAGATGTCACGTTAAAATATTGTCTACGGAACACGGAGAGAGAGAGAGAGAGAGAGAGAGAGAGAGAGAGAGAAAATGGCTCTTTCTCCAATGTCGTTCTCTGTTATTTTGTCTATATATTACGGTATTTAAATTCAAATCAGACAAAACCATTTTTCGTTCGTGCTCGTCAAATTTCTCACTTGTGATTTCTTTCGTTTTGCCTTCCAAATGGGTTCTTTTGTAATTTAAATCAGTCGACACCAATCATATGATGCACACGAATATGATAGAGACGGATAGGTGAATTTGGTTTAGTTAAATTTTCATATTGTACGGATTAAGCGTGCACTTGTAATAAAAATGTTCTATTGTGACTTTGATTGGATGCTTTCGAGCAGCAGAAGCAGCAATGCGATGCAATGGCAACCATAGAACAATGGTTACAACTAAAGCAGAACCACTGATGCGGTTTTATTTCGGCATTAAGCGCCATGCATTTTACGCTGTGCTCCTAAATATGCAGTAAATGTTGGAATGACAACGCACATATACAAACACGCATACTTTTCCGCTGAAATTACCTATTTGAAACCTTTCGTAAAACTTCCCAAAAGTCAAATCGATTCATTTGCAAATGCTATTAAGTACGTGTCCACCAGACGGTAAACGTAAAATTAAACTCGAGAAACGTGCGACCGACGATTTTATGGCAAATAAAATGTCCCCACAAATGGCTTAAATTCGCATTAATCGCAAATTCATTTCCATTTTCATAGCCATTGCATAAACGTATAACTGATAAAATTCAAATTTTGAAATCATTGTGTGAATGTGTGTGTGTGCCGAAGGAGATTTCGAGCATGTAATTGAGGCAGCAGAAACCCCATTGAGATATTCAAGAAGCATCATTGAATCTATTGCCATCAATCAATCAATCATTCAAATGAGTTCAATTCATAGACACATTTAAACTTCGTCTACGTTTTTTTTTTGCTTCATCACTTGTCCATTACATCAAATCAGATAACATTTAAAGCATCTAGAGAATAAAAGATGAGCTATTTTCCTTCTTATTGTGGCCATCGGAATTCGGTGTGGTTCGAAAGAATAGAACAAAAGTTTTACTTTTCAAATACGGACAAAGTTGAACATTCCGAGGGCAATCATTCATTCATAGTAGCGACATGGAAAAAATTGGTTTTTATGCATTGCAGAAAGAGAAAGATCAAATGAGAAGAGAAAAAAAAGCGAGAATATTTTATTGAAAGTTATTTGAAGTTCGTTAAAATAAATCAATTGTCGCTTATTTGCTGTGTAGTATATTATATTGAAGAGCAAGCGAAACGATGAAAAATAGACTCGTAATTCGTCAATTGATTTTAAATTAAGCGCAATTCTGATGTGTTGGTATATATGTCTGCGTGTGTATCGTTGGATCTCCCTTGGATCTTTCGTGCGCACTGATTTGATTTGCTACGTATATTGCTCGTTTCTTTTTTTATGCCTGGAGTAATTGTCGGCTCGACATTATTTTTTCTCTCTCTCCTTATGCTCCCTGTACGACTTTATTTTATATTCAGTGTGTTTTTTGATACAGAGAAATCAGATCATTTCGTTGCCAGGGAGGCCAAACGAACAAATCAGCATATTATTTGTGCATGATTGTGGCACCAGAAAATAGAAACTGAATTCTAAATATAACTAGAGAAAATAAAAAAAAAAACCCGAAACAATTTAGTCATCAAATTTGATATTATTATATGTACCGCATTTTTTGGCCTTGATTCAATGGTTGATATGCGCATTTTTTTTGTTGCGTGAATAAAAAAAAATCCCCAAAGAATTTCATTGAATTTTGCCATTTTGCTCGATAAACGTTTATACTTTTTTCTCTATCGTCCCTAGTTCAATTGGAATGAGGCACATAATTTCATCATTTTTGTTTTCCTTTTTCGGATTTTTTTAAAGGCATTCTGTAACCATGCGGTCACATGAACATTATGTTTGAACCAAAATTAGGTAAACAGTATGCAACAACAGATTTTCATCGCCCACATCGATTGAGGGAGAAAGAAAGAGAGAGAGAGGAACTGGAAAAATCCGTGATTACCCAGCCATCTCAAAACGATTACGGCCGATTTTTATAAACACAATTGTTTGCTATTTTGTTCACAGTTAAAACAAACATATATAAATTCTTAATTCCTACAGTCTTCCGGGCATATGCATCGTTTATTGAATAGTAAAGAATGGCGAATTTTGACATTGTACTGTCGTATGGCGAAAAAAATGAGCGAGAAAAAAAACAATTTGCTATGAAAAAAAAGTAAATAAAATGGAGAAAAAAGTGGGAAGATGCCTGCTATCGTTCGCTTCGATAGATACATTTGGATTGCTGAATGAATTTGAGACGATTTGGTAATTTAATCGAAAAGAAATCCAAATTGGAAATGAAGAGACCAAAGCCATTGGAATTTGTTCAAGCACAAAAAAAACCGTCGGATAAAGAAGCTCATTTATTTTTCTTAGCCATTTTTTCGTTAGTCGTTTTTTTCTTCGCTGCATACTTGTACATCTGAACATATGATACGTCAAACGGCAAATCTTATCGGGGGTGCTTTACTTCGATGCAAAGGCAAATATCCATATAAAAGGCATCGATATTGGTGCTATTTGCCAATGAAAAAAGTGAAAAAAAAAACATAGCGAGAGAACACACTTAAATGGTATGCGCGCATAAGAAATGGAAATAAAATCGTTTTCGCTTCGTTCATTCTCTTTAGTCATGAGTTCTGAAAGAGAAAAATGCTTACAATTTCAATTTTTATGGGCAATAGTCGTTACGATTTCGACAATATCCATTTCCCGATTTCATCTTTTAGTTTGTACATGTAGATTTTTATAGTCGGCAAAAATCTATAAAAAAAACTGCCTTTCGAATGCAAAATCGTGCGCAAATTTTGGAATAGAAAAGAAAAACATCCCGATTATTTTCTTTTTTTCTTTCTCTCTCTCTCTCTTCTCAAAAGTACGGTCTCCATAGAAGTATGCGTTCGGATGGCTTTGGCATTTGTAAGCTCTTTTCCAAATTCTTTTTCGATATTAAAATTACGTATGGGTGTTGAAACTTAAAATATATGTACGGTCACAAGAGTTAAAGAAAATACCATTCTCGCAAAATGTAGGGAGATTGTTTTTGTTCTCCTCCTATTTTTCTTCTTTTCACTTTTTTTTTCCTTTGAAAAAGCATACGCACGAGTTACTGTCGACACGGGCTGAGGCGAAGGAGTTTTTAAGTAGCGTCAGATCAAAATATCGGATCACGAGCCAAAAACAAAGCACATATTTTTATCTGCACTCTCTTTTTTTCGCTTTCTTCTTTCTTTCTATATTTCGTTGTTTTGCTCTCGTTTGTCGTCGTTTTGTTTTCCTTCGTCATATTTGTTTGTTGGAAAATTGCGCACTTTGCTTACCGAAAAACTTTGTTACGTTGACGGCAAGGCGACACGAGCGACCAAGTGAAAAGAAAAACACACCGAAAAGGAGCAAAAAAAAACACATATAGAATAACAAAGGAGAATGAGAAATGTATGCACACCCGAGAAAAACACGACCCCAAGGATACATACGGTGCACACCGAAATTCGAATAAGTACAAAGAGAAAATTTTCGAATCCATTAGGAATTTTATGTCTACTGTATCGTATTTCATATCGTTGCGCTTTCGGTGGGTTGTTCTTTTTATTATTTTTCGTCGTCTTTTCAAATCGTTTGACATTTGTTCGCTTGTGTTTTTGAAGAATTGCTTCCCGTCAAACCTTTTGTTCACAATCCATTTCATTTGGCGCGCCGTAAGCAATCACAAAAATTGAACTTCGAAACGATAAGTTATTGTTATTAAAACGAACGAAAAATCAACGAAGGCGACGACAACGACGACGACGTCCACGTCAACGACAACGGTGAATGAGAAAAACAAAAGACTGAGAGCAAAAAATAATAGCTTACAAAGAGCAGACGACAAACAAAACTGAAATAGAAGCAGAAATTAAACGAAGAAAATATCATAATAAATAGCCACTTGGCGTTATACAACAACTGGTGTTCGAGCCTCCTTTTTTCATATCGACGTCACACATGATCGATATAGATATAGAATGGCGATAGAGTATAAGTAGGCACGAGACGTATAAGCCCACACACATATATACAAAATGTATCGCATATTATCTTTATGATGAAAATGATAAAAATAGAACAAGCGTCAACTGTGCCAGCACAAACGTTGAGAAGTCGACAAGTGCAGATAATAAATAGGGAACACACCGTGATGAGCAAAGGAAAATAGAATAAAATAAAATATAATAAAGAGAGTAGAGAAAAGATAAAAAGATAAAGACGTAACGAGAATTATATTGAAAATCACCTTCGATTAAATATGTTCCGCCTGGTTTTGACGGCCATGATAATACTTTATGTTGTGACGATTGTTGCTGTTGTTGTTGTTGCTGCTGCTGCTTCTGCTGTTGCAACGTCGTAGTCTGCTTTGGCTTTGGTCTTACATTCCTACTGTTCTCTTTTTCTGCATTCAAAGTGGTGCTTGTGTTCTTTGAATGATACCCATTTGTACTGCTGCTACTTGCACTGTTTGTCGCAACATTTGGTCTTATCGTTGTCAATCTCTTTAACAGTGGCGATTCAATTTTTGCGGGTGGTATCCCGCTTGTGGATTCAGCATTGATTGTTGTTGTTGTTGTTGTTTCTACTTTTTCTGCTGCTGCTGCCGCAGTGGCCGCTGTTGTTGGCCATTGCATTGTGATTGCACTGGTGTTGACCGACTTTGAAACATTTGGTATAACTGCATTTGATGTAACATTTTCACTATAACACACACTTAAAGTAAACACTAAATAATAAACAACAACTAAAACTAAACGATATCCCGATTTTGGCATGAAATTGGCTAACAAATTTGACCACATGTTTTCAAGTTGAATATGTTACGGGTATATTGTGGCCGAATCAATCGTGAACAAATTGCGGAGGAATAAGAAAATGGTGCGAACCCTTCGGTTTTGCTCTTGTTTGCCTTTGCACACTATACCATAAGCGTATCGAAGCCGATAATTTATTTAACACTCTTCACGGTGAGAGATGCTTCCACCCTACACTGCACTCTTAATACTCAATTGATGGTTATTCTATTAGTTTGTACACTTTTGGCTTAACTTTCAGTTTGCAGTTTCAGTTTCAGTTCCCAATACTCGAATAAGTTGTTGTGCATTTAGTTCATTTTATTTAACTCAATTTTCCGTTTTTATTCCGTATAAATTGAATTTTCAGTATTTTCTCAGATGTTGTTGTTGTTGTTGTTGGTATTGCAACTTTGTACATATGTATACGATATATATATCAATGCGATTTCTCAAGCGAAATGTGTATTTCGGAAATGAACCCTCCCCAAATAACAATCACACTAATTTCATTTATCGTATGTGTTGACATAAAACACGGTGTTTTCCAAATGCATTTGTACAAAATGTTCAAAACATCGACGATGCACACTTCAAAAAATACCCAACTATATTTGCTAACCAAATAAATAAATAAGTTAAATAAATAAATAAGACTATCAGTGGTTGGATTGTGTTGAGATGATTGAGACAAGAAATGTATCGATTTACACACACGTAATTTTGTTATGTTTGTTACTGCTGATGATGCTAATGGTTGTTCTTGCCTTTTTATATCTTTATGTTTCTCTGTCTCTCTGAGTCTCTTGTGTATGGTATTTTATTTGATTTCTTTTTTAAAAATAAATCGCTTTAAATTATATAATGTTTAATATTTGCCGATGCACTGAATACTTCATTTATATGTATATATATGTCGATGGTATTAATTATGCGATGATAAATTGTTGTTGCTTGTTGTAGATCATGTATATTCTTGCTATGTATTAACTTTTAATGTAACAAGCATATTCATTTGGTATTCAACGTCATGTACACATCTAATGAATGTTTTCGGTTTTTCACGATGTTACATTTCTCTGTTTCAAAAAGTATTCGCTTCGCATCTCACTCTCACACTCTCTTCAATTAAGTTTAAGTTTGTGGCCCGAAAGAAAAGTTGCAGCGGCAACCAACTAACAAAATAAAATATACTAAAACACATAAAACACTGAATTAATTTCTGTTTATGTTCGCATTTATGCCACACAGCCACACATATATACGCGAAAAACACTGGGTGCTCAGCGGCCTTTGTGATTGAGAGCGTTGTGATTGAGAATAGTGAAAGAGAGTGAATAAATAAAATAATCACAAACTCCTAAGCGAAAACGATTCACACTGGGATGTAGCGTATTCAGCACTGGCAAGCGGTAGGTAAAGTTTCATACATTTTATACATCGATTCGAAAATCCGTCGACAATGATAGCGACGACAATTTGGTGGATTTGTATGTGCTTGTTGTCGTTGATGTGCAAATAAATGTGACTTTTTGTCTAACTATCTCGTGGCTTTTATTTGATTTTGCATGAGATTTCGTGTATTTATTTTTCTCCGAATTTAGACTTGCGTGTATTATTTGATGCGTATTGTTTTTGTCATGTAATTCGCAGATGCTGTCATACTATCATTGACAATGATGCTGATGATGACAACGACAATAACAACAATGTTCTACGATTAGGTATTTACGTTAAAACGTTTTCTCTATCAAAAATATTAATACCGCAGATAAATTTTATGGCCAAAAACGCGCGTGTGATTCGATATCTATTGTTGTCGGTGTTAATATTTGCCAATATTGCGCAGGGTTAACAATATATATTGTAGATGTAGATAAAATGAAACCGTAATTAAAGGAATCCGAAATGATTTGATGTGTCGACCTTCGGCGACATTATTTTATTGGCCCCCGCTTTAATTGAGAGTTTTCTCTCTCTATCTATTGAATTGATTGAACAAATTATTATCTATTGGTGTCTGTGATTTGGTTGAATCGTCGTCAATCTCAATTATTTAATAAATCATTGATAGAAATTCTGCAAATGACGTTGTTCCTTTTGTTCATTCACACCAAATCAATCCTTTGGCCTGATGCAGCCTGTGTTCGGCTATTGTACCCACTCGAACAGACACACAAAAACCAATATTGACCGATTGGTTCTGACGCCTTTTATTAGTCGATTTTTTATTTTTTTATTTTTTTTGCTTCAAATCTCAACTGCCAATATAATACTGTTTACAAAATGTTCTGTTTACTTGGCATACACATGAGAATTGTCGACCCGATGTTATCGATTTAATAGATTTTAATTGTTTGCAACGTTCTCATGCAAAAGCATTTGTTTTCCGAATACCGAACGATTCGAATTTTTGTCGTGTATTGTCTATTTTTCGCATTGAACTTTTATTTGGGTTAAAACTATTTCGCTTGATTTTTTTTTCACATACGCATGCATACACAGTGCACACAATGAGATCGATAACAAAGTGATGCAGAGTTTTGTATTTCACCAATTGGCTGGATTTTTATTCATTTCAATGACATTTCAATGCACATTGAAACCCTCGTTACGAATGAAAAATCACACTTTCGTTTTATAACGCGTACACACACAATTTTCACTCTAGTATTTCTTTTTATACTTTTAAATGTTGTTCATTGTTTGCACAGTCAACGATGACGACGAAGTGGTAGCTGCTGATGATGTTGGTGATGATGACGATGATGACGACGACTATAACGACTATTTTCTCTTTTTTTCTGTATCTCTCTTATCACAGCATTCAGAATCTCTATTGAAATATTTGCGACATATTTATCGGATATTAAAATCTACAATCCTTCGGAATGCATAGAAAATATTTATGAATTTACACATCAAACTTTCTTTTCTTGCTTGTTCGCTTTTCCGTGTGTTTGTTTTCTTCTTCTGTTATGCTTAAGAATTTTCTTCTATTTCGTAAATCCTGCGAGCGATTGATACTGTAATTTGTGATTTATAATGTTTACTCTGTTTTTATTATCCTTGGTTATTGGTTTTCGAGTGATTTATTGCACTATATATGGTCCGTTTAATGTTAAAATGATGGTATTTTTTTTTTGCTTTCACACTTGCTGTTCTTTAACATACACACTCGATGATGATAACGCAACGAATGGAACTCAGTGAAGAAAAAAACATTTACGCTCGTAAACGAAACACTGAGTCTCAAAACCGATTTTCGCTCAATGAATTGATGCTCTTTTTTCTGGCGGACTACTGATTTCAATAGAAGTGGTTTTTGTTGGTATTCTTTTGTTGTTGTTGTTGTTATTTCTATTGTGTGCGATACGCACTGTGAATGTTATCACCCGCACTTGAAAATTACGACTATTTTTGATCGCCTGTGCACTTAAACAACTGGATATCGTTTAATGCATTCAATGAGCGTTAAGACTGAGAGAGGTGTGACATGCTACACTCGAAGAAACCAACTGAACACATATAACTCGTGGTATGTGTATATTGAAGGCAGCAGCACCACTAGCAGCAGTAGCAGCAGCACAGTAAGGCAAAAAAACACATCCAGCAAGAGAACGAGAGCGCGCGCGTGTTTACGGCACTCGTTTATATTGTGTATAGAGAAATGGTATGTGAAAATCCACCAATACAAATGCAGACGCGTGAATCGAATGAGAGGGAGAAATAAATGCGAACAGCATGCTTGTGCACAGACACATGCAGAAGCACATGCACATAGAATAGACCGACCGTTCAACCGACCGAGAGAATACGATGAGAAAACAGAGTGTTCCAAAGAATTTTTGATGTGCTGTGGCACCAAACAACAAAACCGAGCACACAGGCCATATCAAATCCACAATGTTATACCGAAAAGATAAAAAACAACGAACATTTTATTTAAGCATTAAACGAATGTTGTGTGTGCAATATATGGTGACCAGGGTAATCAAACACATCATCCATCTAACGGGATCAAATACAAAGTCATCCGATATGAATATGCGAAATGATGACTTAGCTACCATTGCGATAGAGCATAGGATTTAGCGTCAGCATTGAACGAATATGCGAATGTTCGACAAAACGAAAAAAAAACTGCCGTTGTTCATTCACCAAATATGGTTTTCGTACACAATTTTTTGTTTGTGCTTGCTATTGATTTGTAGCCTCATTTTTTTTTTCTCTACATTCTGTGTATGAAAAAAGAGGCAAAATATTAGCCATTGCCGATAGCAATTCGCTGAAAACGTATGACCAGTTATTGTAAGCAAACTGCAAAACAGATATATATGTGTATATTATGATGAAACATCTATAGAAGCCGAATCACTTGATTGCGAAGCGAACGTACGATATCATACGCAAAATATCGTATGATTTTTCTCTATTTATTTCTCTTATTCTGTTCACAGTCGGTATTGTTTGATTGTATGAGTGAATCGTATGTTGTTACGTTGTTATTTTTTGTTCTCTCATTATATCTCTTTTCATTACGTTTTGATTCACCTATTTGGCTTTTGTATTTGCATGGTGTTTCGTTTTACTTTTTTATCATTGTGTTACTCATTCTCGTACGTGGTTTCTCTATTTTGCTTCGACGAAATAGTAAATGTATACAAATACTAAGATACAAGTGACGTGATTTAAGATATATAAACTGTATATTATTTTTGAGGGCTTGTAAGAGAGCGGGTATTTCTCATGAGTGTGCCGCTCCATTTTTACAATACATAACGTGAACGATCGTACGATTTCTCGTCCTACCATTGACATTTCTACATGAGTAACGTTGTCGATTATTACGTGTCGTTTGACTTATTATTACACCGTTTGGAATTTATCGAAAGAAATGTCCATTGTATTGAATGCGTCTGTATGAATGTACGTGATTGTATTTGTGAGTGTGTGTGTGTATGTCTGTCTTGAACTTTCTCACTCTCTCTTTATCGTTTACTGTGTGCGTTACTCATTCGCAGTCAATTTTCTTCGATATTCCACTTCATGCGAGAGTGTATCACAATTTTCGGTGTGCAATATTTTCTCTGGTGCGCTATTCAACGTGGATTTTTGGCGATGAATTGTTTACGGGCTCACATGTTTGTGTGGCAGCGTGGTAGTGAGCTCAACGCATGGCAATTTCGACTTTTATCAGGAAAACCACATACTCTGTTTTCATTTTGCTCTCTATCGCTGTACTCGGTGTCAATGTGCACACAGACACACATACAGTCTCATTCGATGTTTCTCCTTCTTTCAACTCGCACACATTCTAACGACGACATTGTGCATACACGAAGAGCGGGAGAATTTGCTCAGTGCTGTTTGTGCTTTGGAATTTTGTATTCGGTTCATGTGCATTGCTCGTCATATACCGTGTGTCCAAACGCTCATAGCATCCATTTTCATTGGCCTTATTGCTTTGTTTGTGAAGCATCTTCGTGATTTGAATTCACTCCGTTTATTTAAGTTTCATATCAAATTATAACTAATACGAATACATGAAATTTGAGACATATTTTCGTATCTATAATTCGGAATACATTCAAGTTATTTGCGGAAGAGAATTTAATAAAATGGAAAACAAAAATTTCATTTATTTTTCTTTTTTGCTTCACAAAATTAGACAAAATATGAACATATTAAACTCGATATTATATTGAATCTATCAAAATTAATTTCACTTGAATTACTTTCAAACAATTCCCATCAAAACTCAACATAAAAGTCATTATCCTATATATTCTTGTTAACGAGTGAAAATCCCGTTTCCGTTTATCATCGCTTGTTGATGTTGTTGTTGTGGTTATTTGAAAATATTTCACCGCAAATTTTAAATTAGCAACAAAGTGCGATTGCATACTTTACGGAGATATTATTAACTTTGATTTTGCAAATGTTGTTTTTAACAATTCAAAGTAATCTTAAGTACTTTCGATGCAGTTTATATTCACATTCTGATTTAAATTTTTCACGAGTACACTTTGTGAATTTCAGATTTCAAATAGGATTAAATTTTCTCGTTTTCATTTAACAAAACAGTTATTAATCCGTTGGATAATCCTCTTGCCTTCGAATATACCACAAAAAAAAAAACTCGATGGAAAAGACGACGAATATCATTAGGTAAAAAAGTTGTGCGTATAATTTGGCAACAGGAAGAACCATAATCTGGATGCATCCAACACCAAACTGCAAGAGAGTCTATAATTGCAATATGTAAACCATACTATGGAACTAAGACGTGCATTTATGCAAAAGAAAGTTCTTAATGAGCATTAATTGTCACACAAGAGGAAATAAAAGCGCAACTTGAATATAAAATCATCCTAATAATTGAATTTAATTTTCTTGTGTCGAACTTTTGCGCCATGCAATTTTGTGAAACCGTTCAAAAACACATTCTCCGGCTTAAGCATACAAGGTAAGTTTTATTTACATGAAAATTGACGATGCAGAAAAACTCCAGGACAACGTCATCGAAATTCGTGTACAAGTGCACAAGAATCCATTGCGCTGTGCAATTTTATTACCAAATTTTATATATCCGTTTCAATGAAATCATCGCAAATTTACAATAATCATAGTCGAAATCAATTCAGGTAGCTGACTCGACACTTTCAATAAATAACAAAAAACAGAAGTCAAAATATGTATGTTTTACACACACACACACGCGATTGAGTGCGCTAATTTGAATCGACAAAAAATTGCCCCATTAATCCAACTAAATATGGCATAGTTGTGTACAAACAAAACAATCATCACGCACATCACTTCGTTTTGATGTGTATACTGTGTTTATGTTTCTTTTTTTTTCGTTCAATGTCTGCGGTCAATTGCACCATTTCTTTGGTTTTTTTTTTGTGTTGAATGAAAATGAAATTCGACCAAAAAAAAAGCTAATGAGTGAACATTTAATGCTATTTGTGTTCATTTATCGCCTTTTTTACCTCGACAAAACATTTTAACGCCACTGAGAGAAGAAAAAACACAATCAAAACGATTAATTCCAACACTTATGTACATGGAATCGCCATATGAAGAAAGACCAGCAACTGGCAGCAAGCAAGAGGAAATATAATTTCAAGTGAATTAAACACTGAGCCGAGACACTTACTCTGTATCCATCTTCGAAATATGATGGGCTTATGTTGTTATGCCTTATATATAATGTAATTATATGCTTGGTGAGACAAGGTCATGAACTGGGTTTTGTTGTTGTTTTAGTTCTTACCATGTGCACAAAATCATCAATTTATGTCTACAAATACGATGTTTTCTCCCCAAACCTTATTAACTTTTTTTTGCCGACTCAAGTAACTATATTTTTCTCCGATAGAAACAGAGAGCGAGAGGAAGATACGCTCAATAGAAAATTGTTGCTAACTCAATTTGGCCAATTTCCGCTGAGTCGCATTATTGCTATTAATTTTGTTTGCAAAGTGGTTGAGCCAAAATCTCTTGAGAATATTTCGATCAATTTGAGGATTTCCCGTCTGATTAGGCGATCAATTATATCCGAACTCGATTTCACTTCTAATATGACCAGATTGTATCAAAATCATTTAAAACAATTTGCACACAAAAACCACTCGATTCTAGGTGTAATGTGTAATGACAACAATATCAAACCGAAACTGCCCAATTAGTTTTCAATGCATAACATTTTAATTAATTTATGAAGCGAAAATCATCCATCGCTTTCAGTTTAAGTCACCAAATTGAAGGGATGAGAAGAGAAGCCAACATAATAAATGGTATTGAGTAAACAATATGCGTGTAATTGATTTCATTCAAACTAACACGTTTTGGTAATTCTTCACATTGTCTCGGCAACTGTATAAATTTCAGACGATGCTATCGGAAAACGACGGGCCAATTATTACCAATTAATAACTTTATAAAGTCATTTGACTGTGAAATCCCCGATTTGTTGACATTGTGCGGCACAATTGCGGTTAAACATTATAATTCTGGTCGATTTTATTTGTTTTGTACAGTTCAGTCAAATCAGTGACCATACCATTGATTCAGCGTCGTCATCGTTTCAATCATAATAAGCAATCCCCACTTGACAAACACAAATATGACTGCCTTTTCTTATGTTTGTCGTTGACACATGTCTATTATGTGTGTTTGAGCTTTTCGTCATTTCATTCATGGCTCAAACTACTGTTCGTACGCGTATACTATGCACAAACATACACATATTTAAACCCATACCAACAAACACGGCGATTTATTGACTGTATGAACACGTACTGAATTCAATGTCCACACACAATTATACACCTTGGTCATACTTCAATCGTCGATTCTTTTGTGATCGCACACTTATGATTTTATGCAATAAAATCAATTTGTTTTGGTCTTTTGCTGTTCATTTGCTTATGTGTGTAATTTGTATATGGCACGAACATAAACACGCTTACTTTTATTTGTTTCATTCTATAACAAGCCATACACACAGAGAGATATACCGTCGTCACCGCATATCCAGTATAGGCATTTTTTTTGTTTTCGTAAATTTTCAAGCGTGCGAAGGGAATCTTTGCACTTTAATATCATTTAGTTTGTAGGAGGCATCGACAGTCTTCACACAGTAGTGTAACGTTTCAGTCGCGTACCGAAATGCATGTATAGCATCAGATAGATTTTATTGATCGTTTGAATTTAAACGTTACGTTAACGATTTGCATTTGGATAAAATAACAGACGGTATGTTAAACTAAACGAATTTAGTGGAATATCAAATAACGAAATTCGTAGTCATTTTTGTGTTTTCGACCTCATCTTATAATTTGCCATATAACGAAATCGAGAGTGAATAGATTTGGAGTTTTTAGTGATTGAATCAAAAAGACGACACCAAAAAAAGTATCAATTCAAATTACATCATTCGTTATTTATCAACGAAAGTGAATCTTTCATCGTATCATGTTATACTCAATTTTATGGTGCACCCATTTTCGATCGATAGTATAACGATAGTTGTGTTCGAGCGTGCAGAAAGATTATGCAAAAAAAAGGAAAATTAATATAATATCATTCCCATAAATAGATTGTATTGTTTATCTCTTCGTCGAAGCTTTACGCCGTTGTCGACTTGTAAAATTGTTGAATCTTCCATTTTCTTTCGTATCAGGCATATAAACGCGCCACAGCTCATTGTTTTTTTTTTTTTGCATCGTAATCAATTCAGTAACCGAATTTTTTTTTTCTTGTTCCAACGTGAATATTGAATGCTTTGCTGCATCTTTTCTCAGCCAGCAAATGATTCACCAGCAAATTCAGTGAACGAAAACTTAACATATAAAAAAAAAGAAGTAAGGTGCACCAAGTGACTTTGAAATAGCTTATATTTGGTGTGTATAATTTTTTTTTATAGGCGAGTGTTTCACAATCGGTGTGTATGCAGTTCAGTACCAAAGTAAATGCAACCGTGCACAACGTTGAACAATAATATAACATCAACGATTTGGAATCTGGAAAAATACGCGTGAATAAAAAAAATCACATACACACTCATACAATAACATAGTGCACCAACAAAATAGTAACAGAGCAACAAGTGTTTTAATTGAAGTAAGTTAAACCGAAAACCACTTTGCCAAACAATACAAACAAGCTACTTAAGTAAACAATTCTTAAAATACTCGACATGCATATGCACGACTATTCTATGGTTTTTCACATTTTTATTTTCATTTCGATTGTGTTTGTGCGTTCGAATTGTTGAAGGAAATGCGTCTTAGTTTGCATGCAAATAAAACTGGACTTTTATGAAGTGAATCAAGACATCTTGAAAACCACACCATACGTACTTGAAGTCCATTAAATATTTTTTTTTTAAACCACACAGCATGTGTGTCTATCATAACAATGAAAAACTTGAATATTTATGGAAACAACTTTATTTTTATGTTTTGGACTAAAAGGTCTTTCCGACACCTTGCATCAAAAGGCGGTCATCAAATTGATCTTGTGAATATCATTTGGAATTTGCAACGAAGTATGACGCTGTATAGTGTGCTTGGATGCATGCCACTTTTAAATTGAAAAGATATAAATCAGAGATCGCAACATGGTTTAATCATCGGACGGAAATGTCTATGTGATACATGCGCAAATTGTGTGCAAAATCAATAATCAACATTTCAATGTTGAATTTACAGCCAGAAAGCAACAACAAAATGAATGTTTTTGCAAACAGACAATCCATTTGGCAATAATATAGGTGTAATCTTCTTGTAGGCCAAACTTAACTCAATTTTATTAGGCACACATCAACATCAACAGAACTATTGAGTAATTTAAAAAATTTCGATTGATATTTCGAGTACTACAAGAAACGAACCGAATGGCAATGCAATAAAATGGTATGCTTGTGTACACATATGAATTCGTGATCAAATTCCATTCGAATGGTCTTTTTATCTCTCCCTCTTTACCATTTTCCATATTGCAATATTGTGGCAAAATTCGGCTTAAATTCAGTGGAAGGTCACCGTCACCATGTTTCTTTCTGTCTCGCAACATAAAAAGACCAGTTTAATGCTTTTTCTTTGCATATTTTTGGTTAAATTTTCATAAACCAATGATGATTTACCTTCTCATTCCAAAAGCAACAAAAAAATAATATTGTATTGAAGCAAAACATTTCTTCATGCCTGTATCATATCTGCAAATATTTCAATCGGATTTATCTATATTTCACCATGTGTGTGTGTGTAAAATGTAAACGAACTGATGAAAACGGTCAAGAAAAAAGGTTTCATTTTATTTTGTTCGTTTTTCATGTCTAGGTCAATATATTCATACATTTATCCATCCATCGTTTGAACAAAGACGAACAAAAAAAAATACATCGGCCAGAGATAAAATTCAAAATTTATTGATACGAGCACAATAAACTCATGTATCATATAAATCTACATTGGTTGAGTGGTTACTGCTCCATTCGTTTACATGCAACTCAATTGAAAACTTATTTTCATTAACATCTACATGAAATTGGGAAAATCGAGTGGTTTGAAAAACCTCCATGTTCGGCAGTCGGTACAGCGAAAATTGTTTTGGTGGTTTATTGATTTTCCAAATTCATTCAGTTTTTATGCACAAATTTCAATTAACAACAATATCAATTCGTTGTTATTTATTCGTAAAATAGCTAAATGCTCCTTGGATCCATTCGAAATGGCAACCTCAAACACGATAAACTGCCCGTTGGTCTAATGCAATTAAACTTTTTTTTTGTTTGCAAATAAATTTATCGATCACCTTTTTTCAATCGTTCATACAAATTTGTTCGTCGGTTGTGTGCACTTGTAATATATGCAAATTTGGATAATAAATTATGGCATTTTCCATTATCGGAATTTTAACCCATTTGAAAAGACCTTAAAAATGAAAATTAAAAGTTATGATGCATTTTTTCGCGAATTTTTATTGGAAAGCTGTCTATAATGAGGTTTGACCAGCCTAATTGAGATGAGAATAATTAATCGGGGGTAATTATCGTTTACAATTTCCATAAAATCAACAAGTGCACACGATAGAGAGAGAGGGAGAGAAAGAAAAAATTTGCATGCCTAAAACGAAAGCGAATACCAAGTTTTCTTCGAATTATTTTCAATGCTGATTTGTTCGTAGATCAATTAGTATTATTGTGACTTGACTGGAGCGTTTAAATAGATACAAAAATAAACATTGCACCAACAAAACAGCGCCAACAATCATGAATTGTGCATGCCAAAATTTTCAATCGATTTTCATAACAATCGATAGAGTGCTTTGTTTCAATTAAGCAACAGATAATTGAATTAGTGAGTGAGTAATCAATCATGTGTCATTGATGTGGCCTAGATATTTCGAGAATTTAATCTAGTTGTAGTTCTCGTTACAATTTTTGCCCAATGCCAACGATGAAAGAACGCCTGTTACATATAATTCAATGATATTGGTTTTATATATCGATATGATTTTGATATCGATGAAATTTTAAACATTCGTGCATTTCAATATTTAACATTAACAACAGACAATATGCAAATGTATCCATTTTCGACATCATTTCAGTAAAATCGGTAAATTTTATTTATAAATGATACGTTCATTTTGTATGTAATGATTTCATATCAAGTTTGCCGCATCATCGAATCAATTGAAATATCAAATGTCGAAGTCAGTGTACATGCCAAAACGCAAAATTCGAATTTTCGAATAGGAAATGCATCATTCATTTTTGCGTTGTTGTTGTTTTAAATATAAATTCACACAAATAAATTGTACGTTACAATCGGAATTTGCATCAATTTTGAACTCCGTCAAGTTCTTTCCGCTTTTAATGTGCAGAATCAGCAAAATCAGCTAAGGTCATAATTATATTTTATCGGGAAGTGGTCGGTTGAAAACAACGAAACTTAAATGCCGACAAAAACAACAACTCAAATGAACAACAAAAATGACACACAGCAAAAATTATGAAGAAAAAGATAAACAATTCCAGCAAATTATGCAAAACAAATAAATATTTATTCAATAAAAGAAGAAACATTTGTCATCAAACAACAACTCATTCGCACCGTATATGAATTAACATTACAATCGCTGTGTATTCTTTACTCTTTTTTTGTGTATTTAATTTCATTTTAATTTGATACAACCAAACACCTCAACGACCTTCCGAAGATTAGGCAGAGAATAGGCCATTTCGTCGTAAATTATCAATTTCATTGTTTCAAATTCTATTCTCGTGATTAATTTTCTCTCTCTCTCTCTTTCTGTGTGTGTGTACTGTTATTTTCGTTGATTCACCTTTATTTATGTAAAGGATAAAATCAATGAAGTCATTTTATCTGATTCGAATGCCGATAGACGTACAACCGATTATTAAACATCATATCGTATAACAATTATCCGAAACATATTGAAATTGGATTTATAGAGAATACTCCAAATATTTTTAATGACCTCTGGATGGTAAAATTGATATCAAATAACAATGAGTAAATAATTGTGCCAATGCACGAATTGAAGGGAACCACCCATGGCAAAAGATTTTTTCGATGAAATGCAAACAATTCTACGAGTATATATATATATATTCAATCCCGGAGGCATATAAAGTAACGAAATATTTTAATACTCATAAAAAAGGCCGGAACTCATGGGAAAACCCAATGCGCTAACGAATGTCCATTAAACGTAATTCTCTCACAACGTTAGCTAAATGTTGATTCAAAGTTCATTTTTAGTGACGCATGTAAGTGAGACGAAAATAAATCACAACACATCAACGCCGATCCGTTTATAAGGAATCGGATGACTTTCGATGAACGCAGGTAAACAGAATTTATGCAAGGGTGTTATTCCATCTTGTTATAAATTCCAGAGTCAAACGAAATGACATGTGGACACTCAAAGTACCACTTAATTTATGACCTATGATGAATTGAAAGTATCAAAGAGAGTTGAGAAGAGAGAGACATCAAGTCATTAACAACATCCACTTCGACAATAAGACCTGAAGTTCAATGTGCGCGTAATTATTGACGTGGAATGGTGTTGGTGCAATCATTTATATATTTACCATTTCACGGCTGCTTACATATGTGCTTTCCGGTCATTTATCAGAACAGAATGAACCATCGACAAGTTCAAGATAACACACACACACATTTATTAATGAAAATTGTCCCATTTCAACCATTTATTTCTTGCATTCATTCAATTGAGTCGCTCCTCTTGAATCGCTCCTCACATCAAATTAATTAAGAGAGAAAACCAGTGTCGCAGTCCCTTGGGTATACAACGTAATACATCGGTCAATGTCAAATCAGTTTTTTCTCTTTCTTCTCTTTAATAAGTTACCAAGAAAGTGTCATTAAAAAACCGACTGTAAAAAAGAGGTAAAAAAAAAATAACTATCAAAAGATGTGTGAGTGTGTGTTAAGTGTTGTAACGTTTATGTAACGAATTACAAATGCACCGACTTTGAGAAATGATTACTTGTCGTGACGACAAAAATCAGTGCATAGAAAATGTATGCACCAAATTATTGTTGACAACCAATAAATCCGTGCGACGGATATAAAATTGAGAGAACGAATAAAAGAGCAATAATAACCAGGTACCAAATAATTCGTTCAAAGGATGACCGGTTTTTTTTTCGATACAAACTTGTTTGCTTATTTATTGATCAATATACGGCAAGCTGTATGTATTGACAAATAGTTTAACATTTTTGTCTGTTGCACATAACACTTTATTCAACTTAGATGGTTGGATTGAAGAAAAACAAAATACGCACACACAAAATTGTAATTGAAGCAGACTGAGGCAATCATTAAAACCAAGTCGCCAAGTCTTTTTCCGCAATGTTTCCATGCAGTGAATCGCAAAATGTCAATCGACATATTGATTACGCGATCGAATGTTCGAATGTGAGATAGATAAAAGAGAGACAGAGAGATCGAAAGAAGAGGAACGAGAACAAGACAGGCAAAAAGAAGAGAATGAGTGTGTAATAACAAGGCAGAATAACTATATGGATGTTGGTGTACAACAAGATTTATCTTGTTCGTGCCTTAGTCTGTGTCACAATATAAACTTGTTTTTGTAACATTATTACTATTATTTAACACATTGGGTTTTTTTCCTCGGCTAAATTCCATTTACGGATGAGAGTGGTGAGCTTGTGCATGCTATAATTTCGTATCTAGTCAGTAAGATCACACATGTGTTTGTACAATGAATACTTACGTATAATAATTTGTCAATATCAATGCAATAGTCAAATACGTACTAATACACAAACCAGAGACTAAAATATCAAAAACTCCCAGTGCATGCAAGAGCATCAATTTTCTTTGACAAGATTTAAAATACACAATCTGAAGAAGGTCAGCAAACTCACTAGTTCATTTCATAAATAGCACAAAGTTTTTGTTTGTCCTCATCAATAGCGGAGTCACAATTCGAAATTTCAAGTTAAAAAAAGGTATTAATTGACTATATTTGGTTTTATCAGTGATACAAAGTCATTAGTTTAGTTTACACGCCACGCCACACACACGAAACTTATATTGAAAAATTAAAACCGTTTTGGTTGCTGACAGAGAGTTCATGAGACATTTGACTTTTTTTCTCTCTCTTCTCTTCATGTTGTTATTTTTAAAATACCGCGTTGTCGTCATTCGGAATTAATTCAAGGTTTTGCGGCTTGTTGAGACGTTGATTTGCTTAACATATTATAATAACTAAGCCAGATGACAATTCATCTGTGTGAATGTTTCTTTTTGTTTTCTTGTCTAAATGAATGGAATTGCGCATTAGAGAACGTTCACATAAAACAGATCAGATTCTCCATAAACTTCCTGTGTAATTGTGTGTTGTGAATATTATTATTGTATGCGATGGTCAGCATTGAAAAAGTTTATCAATGTTTACGCAAACCGATTTGTATCGCCTGGTAACTTCTTTGTGTCATTTTTTTTTCTTCTTTCGCTCTTTTATACATTGGCCTGAGTGGTCGAAGCAGTTTACGTTTATCGTTCGATCAATAAACATCGACGAGCAAATTCTCTTTTTGTGTAAGTGATTTGCCGTGAAGCCAGTTTTATTGCGGAATTCTATTTATAAGATCGGCCCATTAATATTTTCAACATCATCTCCGTGTGTAATCATTATGCGCATCATTTGTTGTGCATACAAAATGTGCTAACTACAACGTGAATATATGTATATACAGTGCAATAAGAAGTAATGTCAAATCATTATGATTTTCGCATTCTAAGTAAAGCAAATGAATTGACGAGTTTTATTGCGAGTTAAGCATAAATGAGAGGGAAAAAAATAAAAAATTTATGACACAAAGTGCACAAAATACACTCCAAAACTGGCTTTTTTTGTGTGAAATGGAACTGGTTTGAATTTTGATGTTTTAGCATCATTGATGCTTGAATAACGTTCTATCCAGTGTTATGAGTCGTAAAACCGATCGCAGACGGCATTCTACAATTACGTTCGTTTTTTCTGTGTTTTGATGCAATTCACTTATAATATTTGTAATTGAACTTTTATCACCGGTCAAGTGAGCGCCAAACATATGCATTGTTCACTTAATCACTTTATAACAAGTGATTTGTGGCCGTTTGTGGCGATCATGATGAGTTTGCGTATAATTTTCAATTTGCAGATGAGATCAACAACAATTGGCTATATGATGGCGCAAGCGATTAAACGGTTTAATATGAAAATTGGTTGTTGTTTCTCTGTGTGTGTCTGTGCTCACTCTTTGAAAGGAAATACCATCAACATGGAAATAGTGTTTTTTTTTTTCAAATGACACATCATGCAATCAATGCCAAATAAACAATTTGTCAAAGTCTCATACAGGCACTCAGACGCACGTCTCACGACACACACAAATCATCTAATACTTTTTTTTGTTCAAATTGTTTGCTTCGGTTCAATAAAGACGTCCGGCTCGTTATTTTTTCCCCTGTTATCTTCCAATGTTGAAGACACACGCTTTACGGGCAATTTAAATCGTGCACTTGGCTGATTTTGGTGATTTTTTTCGCTCGTTATTGTTTTCAGTTAATTAAAATAAAACTTTTCCGTAATAAATGGTTTTAATAACACTGCACAGATCAATCAGTGTGTTGGGGAAATACGTCTATTTTTACGTGTTTTTTTTTTTCGATTTAAGCTATAATTTTCGACACGCCGAATTGTAAACAATAAATCACTGTTTGTTTGTTTGTTCTCTATATCAATATCATAGGTAAACATGGAGACTAAAGAAAATGAAGTAGCTGAAATGAATGGAATCACGTCGGTGAAAATGGATGCAAAAAAATCAGAGATCCCAGATAAAATGGAAACGCCACTGAATAAAATGGATCACACAAATAACGTGACTAAAATGGTTCAGATAGAAGCAACAGATAAAATTGATGAAATGAAACCAGAAAAACCAAGCAAGCCAGCAATACGAGAAGTAACAATAAATGCTGACGAAACGCCATCATCTTCATCATCATCATCATCGGCAATTTCACATAGTCAAGAGTTGGCCGCACGGCGACGACAATTCATGTCACAACCATCAACTGTAGCAACCAGACGGCAACAGGCGGTTTGTGTTAGACGCGCTCACAAAAGCTACGGACCAAAAAACAATCCAAACATCATTTTGGATGGATTAAACATGACTGTGCCAAAAGGATCGATGTATGTTATTTTTCTCTCTAATTTTGTATGACATTTATATGATATATGGTTTATAAACGAATGCAATGATGTGTGTGATTTTTGTTCCCTCAGTTATGGACTTCTCGGTGCATCGGGTTGTGGTAAAACGACGCTCCTATCGTGTATAGTCGGACGTAGACGATTGAATTCTGGTGAAATTTGGGTTTTGGGTGGTACACCAGGTTCAAGAGGAAGCGGCGTGCCAGGACCACGCATCGGCTATATGCCTCAAGTAATAAAATATTCTACCGCAAACGATTTGAATGTTCGATGCAATTTGTTAATCATACTTAAATTATATAGGAATTGGCTTTGTACGGTGAATTTACATTACGTGAAACATTATTATATTTTGGTTGGATTGCTGGCATGACAACATCCGAGGTTGATGAAAAAATTGATTTTCTCATTCGACTGTTGCAATTGCCGAATGTAACGAGATTCGTAAAAAATTTGAGCGGCGGTCAACAGCGTCGAATGAGCTTGGCAGCTGCACTTTTACATGGTATGATATAATACTTTTACTTTCCACGTCACATTCATGTCATTTCATTTTCCAAGAAAGAAACTAATTGGTCATTGTTGAATTTCTATCATTCTGTTTATTCATTTTTCTCTATTAAAATATATTATATGTTTTGATTGCAGAGCCTGAATTATTAATTTTGGATGAGCCGACCGTCGGCGTTGATCCGATCATTCGTCAAAGTATTTGGGATCACTTGGTTGATATAACGAATACTAGCAAGAAAACTGTCATCATCACAACACATTACATCGAGGAAACACGTCAAGCCCATATTGTAAGTTCACTTTTCCCTCTTATTCATCGACACGAGAAAAAAAAACCACACAATTGATGATATAATAATGATGATGTCAAAGAAAGTATGATTTGACAAAATTTTTACTATTTTATTATATTTCCTTATTTCTATGAAAAAAAAAATATGATCGCATACTATGATGACATTGTGAAATCGTTGATTGTTGTTTTTTCAGATTGGTTTGATGCGTGGCGGTAAATTTTTAGCTGAAGAATCTCCAGATGCTCTTCAAATGAAATACCAATGTAATACATTAGAAGAGGTGTTTTTGAAGCTTTCCATCATACAAAACAAAGGTAAACGACGACGGTCGTCAATTGCACAGGAAATTTCTGATCAAGTTTCAATGCCATCTGCGATGACGGTGAGTGTTTCGTTTTGCAAATTTAGCTACATTTACTTTGATTATTAGCTCTTGTTTACATGCACGTTCTTTTTTTAATACAGAATCCAGCATTAGATATAACTGAAGAGGATCCAAATGAAATTTCCGGTGAATTTGGTGATCATTCGATATCGATTGTACCATTGCCAAAAAGTGTGGCTGAATTAACACCACCATTACCTCCGTCTGAAGATCAACCGGCCACCCTTATCGATTACGTTAAAGTCTTCAAACCGCATCATATGAAAGCGTTAATTTGGAAGAATTTCTTATGGATGTGGCGCAATGTTGGTGTGATGCTCTTCATTATCGGTTTACCATGTTTGCAAATTATCTTATTCTGTTTGGCTATCGGCCATGATCCAAAGGGTTTAAAATTAGCGGTTTCAAATCATGAAATAAACGGTTCGAGTTTTGATGACTGTCCAGTTATTGAAGGTTGCAATTATACATTACTGAGTTGTCGTTACCTCAACACGTTGAAAAAACGAGACATGGTCATTGTAAGTAGACAAAATACTACAGCAAATGATGACTGGTTTGTGACTCATTTTCTCTTGTTGTAGGAACTTTATGATTCAGACGAAGCGGCATATAATGAAGTTCAACGTGGCCGGGCATGGGCTACAATGATTTTCAAAAGTAACTACTCGGAGTCGTTGATCAGACGAACAGAAGATGGTCGAGACGTAGCCGATTGGGATATTGAAGCGTCCGATATCGAAATTCGAATGGACATGTCAAGTAAGAACCGAAAAAATTTCTCGCGCGAAAAAAAACCAATGCATTTTTTTTTTAATCTCACTACAGATCAGCAAATTGGTCAGTTATTGTTCCGCGATATTCAGTTAAGCTTTTTCAGTTTTATCAATCAAGTATTGACGGATTGTGAAGTGAATCCATCGGTTGCTAAAATTCCCGTGAGATTCAATAAGCCAATTTATGGCAATGATACGCCAAATTTCACTGATTTCGCTGCACCCGGTGTCATTTTGACAATCATTTTCTTCTTGTCGGTGGCTTTAACCTCGGGAGCTATGTTGATCGAGCGCAACGAAGGCATGCTGGAACGTTGCCTTGTCTCTGGAATCACCGGCATCGAAATGTTATTTTCACATGTTGTCACACAATTTGTCATTATGTCCGGTCAAACGACATTCGTTCTGCTTTTTAGCTTTTCTATTTTCGGTTTAACGTTGGAAGGTGAAATTTTGTGGGTGATTCTATTAACTATATTAACTGGACTGTGCGGCATGTGTTTCGGTATGTGTTATCAACTTCACGAATCTATTAAGGTATTTTTATGAACGGAACTGTCTCATCATGTTTTTAATCGTTTTGAAAATAGGTTTCGTTGTGTCATCTGCCTGTGAAAATGAACGTACCGCAACTTATATGGCAATGGGAAGCTTTTTACCAATTGTTATGCTGTGCGGAATTATATGGCCAATCGAAGGTACTTTTTTCTCTCTCTTCAGGAATACTTTGTGTTCTTTATTTTCTAAATCGTTTGATTTTTCTATTGTTTTCGTGTCGCCAAATGAAGGAATGTATCCGGGTTTAAAATATCTTGCATATTTCTTGCCGTTGACAAAGTCAACAGAATGTTTACGATCAATAACTCAACGCGGCTGGCCCATCAGCGAACCGGCCGTTTATAGCGGTTTCATTTCGACCGGCATATGGGTGCTGATCTTTTTAACAATAAGTATTTTATTACTGAAATTCAAGAAAGGCTAAAGTGTACTCCTTACGCATTCAAGTCATTTCGTATGTTATTATTATTATTATGTTGTCTTTTTTCATATAGATAATTATCTAAGTAATTTTAGTGGTAATATCGTAATTCTCTTTTGGAATAAGTTGTACATGCGTTTTCTTCTTCTTCTTCTTTTCTAATAATTTTATTTAATACAATTTTTCGTGAGTGTGAATGAATCGCTGTTATTAAAAAAAAAAAAAAAAAAACAAATAAATATTGGTGTCGAATGTCGATTCAAAATATAATTTCGTTTTATTTTATTGATTTTCGATGAAAAGATGAACTAACTCATGAACAATAGGAAGAAAAAGATTGCAAACTTTGGACTTTTACTTTTGTTATGATTAAATGTGGACAAGGTCTTTATTTTGTGGTTTGGTATAATTTGGCCGTGCGTTATATAGTGATATAGTCATACAAAAGTTCAAGGTAAGTCATTAATATTCAAAACATCATACAGGTAGTTGTGGCAGGTATATTGACAGCCATAATTATTATCAATTATTTATCTACGCTCAATAAAACTAAACTAGATTGCATTTTATTACCATTTTCACATGCTGTATAATTAAGTACCAATAAACATTTACTATTTTATTTCTAACTACGTAAACAGTTCTATTATCGAATAAACAAATATGATACGCGCCAAATTGCCTACCTTTCGGAGTAAATGAATTTTGTTTTCAATTGCGCCAATTTGAATCATATACAGCGAACCAACTTCATGGTATTTTTGTCAAATGTCGCATAACCTCACTGTCATCTGGATTTTGACAGTTGATTCTTATAGTCATAAGTTTTCTCCTAACTACCGAAGGATACATACGGCGGAATTGCAATCTTCGAATTGGATTGCCCACATATTTTATTTTAAATTATTTACGAAAAATGGCTTCACGTTTACTTCGCCCAACCAATTTGGCACTTGCCAATGCCCTTAAAAAGGTAACAAGATCGAAAACATTAGAATAATTTAATTTTATCGAATATGACGCATTACATAAGCGTGTGGATATAGCACACACCACATGATAGTTCATTTAACATTGAAAACAAAGTATTCATTTAATCACATTCAAGTGAAAAAAAAATCATTTTTTTCGCACAGAATTATTCAACATTACCATCAGCTGATAGTGAAATCACCACCAAATCACCATTGCAAAAGAAATTCCAGGTAAAAATATTCGTCACAAAATGTGACATTGAAATTTAAGAATATTAGAACATGTGTGTGTATGACATTTTGTGTTTATTTTCTGTTTAAATTAGCATGAAATTCCAAAAGCTCAATTCGGTGGAAGACATGCAGTGTCTATGTTGCCAGGAGGTGGAATCGGTCCGGAGTTGATGTTGCATGTGCGTGAAATTTTCGCCAAAATTGGAGTACCAGTTGATTTTGAAATTATTGACATTAATCCATCGAGCGAAGGCAATGACGATCTTGATTATGCTATCACTTCAATCAAACGGAACGGTGTTGCCATTAAAGGTTTGCATTTATTATTAGTTTTAAAATGACCAGATGAAAAACCAAAGTTCAAACATTTGATATGCTTTCGATGATCACAGGAAATATTGAGACAAAAAGTGAAGCTGTTGACACAATTTCGCGTAACGTTGCCATTCGAAATGAATTGGATTTATATGTAAATGTTTTGGAATGCCGTTCGTATCCAGAGGTGCCAGCCCGTCATCAAAATGTTAATATTGCTGTTGTTCGTCAAAATACCGAGGGAGAATACGCTATGTTGGAGCACGAGGTAAGATTTATCAACTGCTCTATTGATTCGATCAAACTAAAAGAGAATTCGGCTCTTAAAGCCCTAATAATTTTTGAATATCATTTTCAGAGTGTTCCAGGTGTCGTTGAAAGTATGAAAGTAGTTACCGATGAAAATTCCGAGCGTGTTGCTAGATATGCTTTCGAATATGGTGATTTTTTTGTGCCACTTCTTTCTGCTCACAATGTTTTACCACTTTTGTTTATTTGTTTATTTATTTCTTTATTTATTTTAAATGCCGTGTTTAACATTGTTCATAGCCAAAAGTACTGGTCGCACAAAGGTGACCACCATTCATAAGGCGAATATCATGAAGATCTCTGACGGTTTGTTCTTAGAGACATCACGTCGTGTTGCCAAAGATTATCCAAATATTAAACACAACGATATGATTATCGATAACACTTGCATGCAACTTGTATCGAATCCACATCAATTTGAGGTAATGAACATGACTAATTTGTATGGTACAATTGTTTCGAATGTGATATGTGGTTTGATCGGCGGAGCTGGTTTGCTATCTGGTGCCAATTATGGAGATCACGTAAGAGTGCTTTATGCGAAGTAGAAAAAAACGAATTTGTGTTATAGAATTGTCTATTATTTTATGGGGTAGTATGCCGTGTTTGAGCCAGGAACTCGTAACACTGGAACATCCATCGCGGGACGTAATATTGCCAATCCAATTGCTATGCTTAATGCTTCCGTCGACATGTTGTACTACTTAGGACACAAAACTTATGCTGACGCCATTTCAAATGCAATTCGCAAAACAATCGTTGAAGATCGCATTCACACACCAGGTGATTTTTTATATTCTTTTGATTTTGGCCTTTTTTTATTTATTTTAAAGTTTTTATTCTTTAGGTTTAATGCAAAATTTAATTTTTATCGTTCTCTTTAAATAATGTCGCCATTTGAATCGTTTATTCTCTTTAGATTTGGGCGGCAACAACACATCGAGCGATGTCATTCAAAATATCTTGAATCGTTTGGCCGAAGAAGATATCCACTGGTAATTATAATGTCTATACACATGAAAAATGTGTGCTTTAACATAACCAATTCAAAATTTGGCAACTAATTCGATTATTATTACGATTATTCTTTATTCATGTGCTTATAAAGTTTCGGCTCGCAATCCTCTTAAGTGTCAATCATTGCATTCAATCAGCAATGCTAAATTTGTTTTATTTTTTTCTCTTTTTTTCTCTCTCTCTCTTTTTATGTTGTTAAAACACGATTCTTTTGTTTGTAAAAAAAAACAACTTTTTATTTATGGATCGATAAATTGACGACAAAAAAACTATTATTTGTTTTTACATGTTAAGTTTCAAATGAATTAAGTCCATAGACAACGCATATGTTTTATGAAATTATCATAATTTTTATTGATATAAATAATTATTTATTTTGGTGCTCTTTTTTCGATTATATCAAAACAAAAATATACAATGCAATTATTTTAATTAATGTAAATGCAGTTGTTTCAGTTTAAATAGTCATAAATTAAGTATGCAAAAAAGCCGCTAAACCGTTCAAATTCAAATCTATTCAAAAATTAATATGGTTCATGATTTCGGCCGCAATTAAATCAAAATTCTAAATCGAGCACTAATCGCGAACGGTTTTGTGGTAAACATTTTCAATTACAAATAATTTACCATATTGATTTAGTAGGCAAACCATTTTTCATTCTCTAGCTGGCAATTTCATTGGAATGAGTCGGACAAGAATTGAGAAAGAAAAACACGCTCATACACACCTTGAAAGCAAAAAAAAAGAGACTCACACATAAAATTATGCGCACCCCGTCGTACTAAGGGTTTTAATTATATAAAATGTTTACGGTTTACATGAAAAAATCGATTTGAAACTTTCATTTAAAAAAAGAACAGAAGTTGAGAGAGAATGCGGAAAAAAACCGTCAAATTTGTTATAATTGAAACCTTTACGATGGCAATCAAATAAAAATAGCACACATAGAGTTTTTTTCTGTTTTTCATCCATTTGAACGAGAATGGCAACAAATCATCCGTACATCCATTCGGTTTTGCACTGCATAATAATCAAATATTGATGCATTACACAAGGCAGACTAGAACGATTGCATATTTATCCATACATAAGTTCCATGGTCGAGCGCCGAATGTGCACACTGTTACATCATATATTTTTTTTGCATCCGTTCGTCATACCATAGAAAAACAAAATGAAAAAAAGGAATTTGTACCTACTAAATAATATGCATCCATATTGTTATGTTCAATTCATTATTATTGTGCAATTTCCATTTTATTTCCGATCATTTTGATTGTATCATTACTAGAAAATTGCTTTTTCAATCTAAAGGACAATAAAATATAGTGCCATATGATTGAAATGTAGCTGAGCTTATATATACTAATTACTAATGCCCATAGAATAACGTGACTAACCGCTTTTTTTCGATTTCTTTTTTTTTTCATATTTTTTCCCGTATTTTTTTTTCTTAACAGGCCAAATTAATTGCATTATGTATGATGTGTATGTGGTTAAGTAAGCACACTAAATAAAATAATAGCAATTCACTCTGATTATGAACACCATTTCACCAATATCAAATTCAATACCTCGGTTATCTAACGCAATCCCGTGCTTTATTTATCCTCTCTAACTATTTATTCATAATATTGTTCGCTTTAAGTGATTGTGTTTGTATGGCGCAGTAGAAGGAATATGGTTTTGGAGGAGCAAAGGGGAATTTAAAAAAATAAAATAAAATAAACAAACACCAAGGCACACATAGTATTCATGGCACGGGGAACATAAATCCATTCATTTAATGAACTGAAACGTGATATCATTGGCTCTTAAATAAGAACATCTGCATTCAGAATTTATTTTTGTATTTCAATGCGACCATTTGACAGATTTATCGCATCGAAGAACCAGCGACAATATATTATTCAATTTCTTTTTTTCCAACATATTTTGCTTTGATAATATAAATGAACAAAAGCTTCCAATTAGTATTAACTCAATTCTTAACGAAATTTTCTGGAACCGATGACATAACATTAAAATGAAAATCAACATTAACAAAATGAAACCTAATAATCGAACCAAACCGAACAGAATGGAACCGAATGGAAAACGTAACAATAGCAGCGATGGAACATGAACAGAAATTCCTCTCAATCTCATTATATGTCAAAACAGAAGCGTGAACATTTAATTGCATGATATTGTTGTTGTTGTCATCGTCGATGTTTTAAGTTAATTATTATTGTTTATACATAAATTAAATTCGAAATGCTATAAATATACCATCTACATTTATAAATTAATTTATTGGTCTTGATTATTGACTTTGATACTTTTTGATGGTACATCGCTTGATGTGAAAGAATGAAAATCAACGAAAAAAAATTGTAATCTGCGTTCAATATGAGTGGCAACAGCAGCAGCAGAAGTCAACGCCACCGTAGCAGGCGAATAGCGAGCAACATTTTGTGATAGGAATTGTATAAACATGCAACGGATACAGTTCGTGTGGGGCTGGTTGGTAAGTATTTTATAGATGTATTGTAAGTCGACTCATGCGATTGGTGTATGTTGCTGCTCTCTTTGTAATTTCTTCTCTCAAGAAAGCTGCTGCTGCTGCTGCCAGAGAGTGGATAAAAACACCTGTTATGAAAATTCGCTGCAAAATGATGGAACCGGTCTTTGGTGTCACAATATCAATAAAAAAAGAGAATATTACTGGAATAAATGAAATGAACACAGTATCTGGTATCATATTCAATACGATGGATAATTTTCTTGCATTTTTTATGCGCTGATAAAAAGGAAATGCCAAAGCTTTCTATTTGGTATGCGTTTCGTTCATATAAAATAAAGACAATTCGTAAGACGATTACATTTAGCTGGTAATAGATACTGTGGCTTAATTTATGTGCATGACAGCAGCGACAGCAGGTATTAAACCCCAACACCATTCAACATCTGTGTGCTGTGTAAACCAGCAGCCAACCACAAATAATAGACTATATTCATGGTGCTTTAAATTTTCATTGTCTTCACCAGAGTAGAGCAGGTGTTCAAAATGCCAAATGAATTGTAACCGGAAACATTTGAAATGTGAGCTTTTCTCTTAATTAATTACATCGAATTCGCAATCTAGGTAGAATCCAATTCCACCACGAATTTCATTCAATTAATTCGCTATATCGTTTGAATGAAAGAAAAATCATTAAGTCATAGAAAAAAGTTTTTCTTCTCAATCAAAGTATCTTTTTCTCTTTATGTGTGTGGGTGGGTGGATAGATGCGCGTTTCTATATTGTTTTATTATTTCGGTGATTATGACTTTGATTCGGATTGCGATTTGGAGAAAATTGGATTACAGACATATTGACATTGGTCGGGATTTATGTTTTGTTGAGTTTTATTATAAAATGATCTGAAATTTCACTCGCATTGTCGTTTTTCTTTTTGTTTCTTGTGTGCGTCATATGTTCGACTTATGTTCATATTTAAAAAAAATGTCATCGCTACATGGGCTATTTGTGTAGTACGTAAGCCATGAATGCAAAATACAACTCTATTTCAGACGAATCAGAGTTAATTTATGACTTTATTTATGTGTAAGCAGCCATTTATCGGCTCTATTTTATTATTAGATTCGGTGGTATATTTATTTTATATTCGATTCAATAATAATAACCGATTCGGTGTTGAGTTCGGTTTGTTCGGGGCTTCTTTTGTCTCAAACAAAGTCAGCAAATATACCGTGCACAGCCCGAACACATGCTGCGAACAAATAATAAACGGACTAAATAGAAAAGTCAAGGGAATAAAATAGCTTTAATTCAGCAGAATTTAGATGAAAAAAAAAAGGTTAAACACCGAACACAGTCAATCGACAATCTTTGCTATCTGATATATAGATATATTTCGTGTATATGAGTGTGATAAACTGACATAGACTCTCTGTACATCTTTCTCTCTCTCAATCTTTCTTCTTCTCTGCATGCATGTGTGGGTGCGTGTGACGCTTACTGCGCATGTAAATAAAATCAATAAACAAAAATTTTTCCTCGGGCCGCACGTAGCCGTATTCATATTTTTGCTAATATTACTAGCAAATGGTGGTTCAGCTCAGCAAGCAATGCTTGCCAAGCATTTATCTTGCATCGCAGACCCACACGCACATACCCACACACACACACGTAAGCGCGCGAGGAATATACATACATCAAAAATCGAAGCAACACAACAACATCACAGGAAATGATGAGAAAATTACAGTGCTTTCGTTCCATTTTTCCGAGCCTGTGTAACACAAACACACATCATATAAGTGTATTGAGTTTGGTACGATAGGCACGGTATATATATATATTCAAAAAGCACGCACACATACAAACACATTCATTCCATCTCTTTTTGTCTCAATTATAAGTAAGCGGCCAAATTGCAGACACTTCGATTTCGTACACAGGCACCGAAAATTTTCTTGTACTCTCTCTCATCGCTAGTTGCGGCGACTCTCACACATCAAACAGTCGCATTCCGAAGGAAAGCAAATTTTTCTGATCTCGTCTTTCAGTCAAACGAAATAGTGTCGACAAAATTGAGCGACACATATTGCACAGACATATATGTACAAAGGCTATCAGACTAAGTCACCGTGAAAAGAAAGTTAGTCATTATACACAGCGATAGAGAAAAGAAAATCGACAACAAGAAAAACAAATTAAATATTTACAGTGAGTTTTGATATTTAAGTAAAACCAATTTTTTTTTTTTTTAAATTCAAAATGTGAGAGTTTTATCAGTACAATAATTTTTTTTATGTCTTGGATTTTAAGTGGATTCAAGTTCGAACAGAAATTTCGTTCATTTTGTTTCCAGCACATTTTTCTTTTTATTGCTGCTGGTGCTGCTGCTGTGATTCATGTGCTCGCCGTAAAAAAAAGCATTCAAAGTAACTTTTGGCATTATGTGAAACACTAATTATTCATAAGTAAATGAAATTTGTTTCTATTTTCCGTTGAATTGGAATTTATGCTTTGGTGCAATCGAGAAAATATTAACTCGCATTACTCGTTTTTTTTTTTTTCAAATTAAAGTTTGGGCGAAACCGGATAACAAGTTTTAGTGCAACATATTCAAAACAAAAACGGGGAAAAGCAATTTATTTCCGTTAATTATTATTCGCAACCATTTCATAAATAGATACGAAGCATATATTAAGTTGTGAATCCAAAACTCATTATAGTTTGGTTAGATTAAAGTACGAAAGTTAAAAATATACATCCATATTTCTACAGCAACGAGGGCATAAAACGCATATATATACATTTATATGTTGGGAAACACCAAACAGACATTAAAATATTAAACAGCTATAAGAAAGGAAAATAAAAGGCTAAAGAAAAAGTCACACACACACACTAGTCACCAAAAATCAACGAAAGTAAATAGATCGTTAAATGATACGCAAAATAGTCGCGTATAAAGGAACAAAAAAAAACTAGAATGAAAAAAGAGCAAAATAAAATCGTTTCTAAAATGAATGAAGAATGTGGATAAATATCACAGTGAATTCGTACCAAAATAGCAAAAGGTACCCAACCAAACCAACGAAAAAAATAAAGGCATTGAAAAATAAAAGAAAGCGCGTGTAGAATCGTCGGTGAATTTTTAAACGAATTTCATTTTTCAATATTGATTTTGATTTGTGTCTGTTGTCACATGAATTTGTCATCGATTTATCATTGTCTTTCATCGTGGCCACCTCATATATTCAATGCGTGAATTGAGTTCGAAAACGGGTTAATTAATTATATTGTAAGATTTGATCGACACGAATTGTTTTTTATGGGGCGGCCACACTTTGATATTAATTGAAGAGAGCGATGCGTATATTGTAACTGGCATAAACTTCATCATCGTCCACCGTCCAATTAGTGTGAATCGTTCGATGAGGTGAAAACCCATAAAAGACATTTTCACCAAGTGGAATTCAATTACGGCAAATCCATCAAATTGCTGGATAAACTGACTGATCGAATGTGGCTTGCGACAACTACGATTTTATGCACATATGTATGAATGTGTTTGTGTGTGTATGGGTGGGTTTGGATGTGAATGTGCTTTGGATTCGATAACATCAAAAAGTCATGCGATGCAATTTATTAGCGGGAAAACAGCCCATCCGAAAATATAAAAAAAGAGTACCCTAATAAAATGATGAACCCATGTATTCCCTGGCTGCTCTCTTTCTACAAATATCGTTTCCATGGAGCTGTGTCGCCAACAGGGATTTTCTTGATGTGTGTCCTATCACAAAGAGCCATACCATATAATCCACTATCTCGTGTTCTCTCTTGACTAGATGTCAAGCGGGACGCAATATTCAACACATCATGCTGGTCTCGTGCATTTACCTCAAGGCGTAGTTCATTGGAGCTACTCGATTGGATGATTCGCTTGAAATTCGTTTTCAGAGAAGAAAATAATCCATTATACCATACTTTAAAAAAAATTCGAATCAAATAAAAATCCGATTTTCTCCGGTAAGGGCAATTGAATTTTTTTACAATAAAATACCATAAATAAGAGGTTTATCGGAGAAAAGAAGGGAAAAAAGAACGAAAACAATCCACACACAAAAAAAACGTAAAAAAATCAAACATTAAACCAAAACGAATGCAAGGCAATGTAAAAATAGAATATTTGTATATTTCATAACTGCACACAAACTGTTTGGTATTTTGTGCGGCGCATGTAGACCATAGAAATACGTACGGATCCCACAACATCAACAACGTACCTAATTAATTAAGAAGTATTTTCGTTCGACAGCGTTTCAGTGGCAAAAAGCGAAAAAGAAAAACGGTCACTCCGGTTTGGGATGATGATGATGATGTTGTACACACCACTTGAACTTTTGTATGACTATTTAAAGCGATTGCTTTGAGATGGGGATGAAGAATAAATGATTCCACCCATGGGCTCAATAAAATCTCAGTTCGTCGCTGCATGTCAAATTAACTCAAGTATATATGTATGTACATTGATATATTTTGGCTGTCGGCTTTTCATTCACATGACGACATTTCGATGAATTTTCTTGACGTATTATTTTATCAAATTGGCGGTACTATATACGGATTTTTCATTTCATACTTTCATCTATGATACTTTATTATATCGGTGTTCAGGTTCATAAAAGAAAAGTAAAATAACGAAATGAAGGGAAAAACGATCCAAATTATATTCCACTCTGAAATATGAATAAAAAAACCATTTTTTATCTCTGGCGTAAAAGGAGACAAGAAGGATAAAAAAAAACAGAGAGAACACCAATAAGACTGTTGTGCAAAGCGTAGACAAGGAAACATAACAAGAGTCAAAAGAAAAAAAAGGGACTCATTGGTCTGAATTTCCATTTTTCCATGGTTATTTCCACCGTATTTTGTCATCTTTCATTTTTTTTTCTCGATTCGAGCCCACGACAACGGCAACGACAAAGAAAAAGAAGAAGAAGAAGAAGTAAAAAAATGCAGAGCACTCTCTCACTTGCAAAAGTATAAAGAACTAGAAACGGAAAATAAAAGTGGATAGAAGATGACAGGACGGAAAGAAAGCGAAAAAAATATATATCCATTATTCGACTCTAATGTCACCTTTCTTGAGCCGCACTGGCCTACTGTTACATGTCATATTCTACATATATTGTGTGAATACACATGTGCGGTTCGCTTTCTTATATATATATATCCGAATGGTAGGCCACATTGCCTGGGTGATGGCAACTCGAACATTTCCATACACACTCGAACTGCCTTTCACGCGATTCACATAGAGTATGTGTTGGGGTAATGAAAACGCAAGAGCAACGAATGAATAAAGAGAAAAAAAAATTGGTTGAACTGAAATAAAATGTCGAAAAGAGCCACATGCACCACCGAGTACTTTATAATCAGCCCTATAAAGCTTCAATTCTTGTGCTCATCATTTTTAGTGGAATATATAATTTTTGTGTATGTGGCACGGTCGTTTTCTCCCAATCACTGTCTCTTTCTGTCTCTCACTTTCTATTCTCACCCATCCATGCTTTACTACACATTCAAATTTCTGTTCGAGAGCTCGTCGTTCAAAAAACGACTCATCAAATTATGAATACGTGAACAATGTACGGCATAACACATACAAGAAGTGCACAATTGAAGTGAGCTTTCCTGTCTTTCTCGATATTTATCCACCCTTCTTCACTTGAGCCATACGGTCGGTGGTGATTCAGTTTACATTTGCGTACGGGAAGATAGAGATAGAGTGAGACTTGGTCTCTCTTTTTTCGGTATGTAAAACTGCTTTCAGAGGGGGCGAGCAAGAGAAACACAGAGTGTGTAATCGTCAACATTAAGGTTTCAACGTGTATAAAAGTAAAAATGTAAAACTTCTGCAGCGTTTCATTTCTTCGTTAGCTTTTATGTGCTTTTCGCTTGTGGATTTCCACTTATGCTTGATATGCGATATATTCCAGTGTAATAGAACAAAAATATATTTTTTCTTCTTCAACTTGTATCCAATATTTTGCAAAAGTGAGCGAGATAGAGAATGAAAAAAGGTTCACACGCAACATGGATAATAGGGCAATGTGTTTTACTGTAGTTTACTACATTCTCCGCACTGTACATCATATCTTTCCAAAAAAAAATTCGAAAAACTTTTCCCTTTCATTGTGATTGTTTCGTCGGGTGGACAGACGGTCGGTTGGTCGGTCGGTGGGTCGATGTTTAACGGCGCACGAAATGCATAACATTTATATTTTATAATATTTTTACCAACTATCCAATAATGTTGAGACTTTTGCACAAATATTTGCCATACATTTGACAATGCCGTAAGAATGGAATACAAAAAAGTCAAGACAATGGATGAAAACGTCCGTCCGCTCCAGCTAAAAGCCTTCAGTAGTACGACGGTGCCGTTACTTTTGTTTCGATTCACAATTCTTCTCTATTTTTTTTCTGTTCGCTTCTCTACTTCTTTTGCTCATGGGCTTTGTTCATTCGCTATTTCAATGAGAGTTTATTTGCTTCGGTTGCTGGCGCGAGTGTTCCATTTTCGTATTTTCCATTTATCTTGTATACAATTTAGCCACAAATGTGCGAGGCACACACTCATTCACTTGCTTACCACTAAGCATTATCATGTTCCTTTTTTTTATGCTGGTGCTGCTCGTGCTGCTGCTGCTGTTGCCACACCATATCGGCATAAATACATAGATATGTTTATATATTTTGTTAGTGCAATGATATTTTGCATTGTGATTTTTGATTAACCTGAATATGCTACTCATTCGGTGCGCGTATCGCGATATAAAATCCAATTACACACAAATTTAAATGATGAACACTGAACGCCAATAATATCCGCAACCAAAATACATTTATACACACATACATAATTCAAAAGCGGTTGAAAGCGAATCGCCTTCCACATTGAATTCATTTATCACATTGTTTGTTTAACATTCACCCTTTTTCAGCAAAAATATATCCATACAACCTCATTCTCGGCTATACATACCATATTATAAATAATAATATACCGCATTGTGAATGGGTAGAATTAAATCGACGTGTTCTCAGCACGTGAAACGAAAGTGTCACATAAAATGTAATTCGGTGTTATTAAGTTAATCAAAAAGTTCGAATTCTGTGCACGTTTAATTTACGGTTCATTAAATTTCTGTTTCGAGTTTGATTGTTTTCTTTTTCATTTTCTTCGATTTTCATTTTGTTGAAATTTAATTTTCATTCCATTCAACATCAACAAAGGGGGACACAACAAATAATATGAAAGAATGCTGAGAAACTTAATGAACGAAACCTTTCTTCGTTACTGTTTTTTTTATTGCTCTGAATGTCTAACGATTGAATTCATAACCAAACATTTTGTGTTTGCCAAAATCGAAGAAGAAATTGTTTCGAAAACGAAAAAAGAATGAAATAAGATTTTTCACATGTCAAAATATTTGAAACAAAAATAAACCACTTTTGGATAAAAACGCACCACACGTTATGTGGTGAAGTAATATGACAATTACAAAGTGTGGTTATGTGTGTTCATAACATCGTAACATTTCAGAGCGCATACAAACTTCTTCAATAAACTTCTTTTGAAACAAAAAAAATTGGTTTTATCGTAATGTTTTCACAGGGTCATGAGCGTTCGGCCAAACTAGACGATAGAGCATCGCGGATAGAAAGAGGTTGAAAACCGGCAGAATAAATCGTTTAACGATATATCAAAAAGTGAAATCAAGCGAACGAACGACAACGGAAACGACAACAAAGACAACATTAAAATTAACGAAGTTCCAATCAAAAGAAAGCGGCTCACCAAACACAATACAAAGTGTTTCCGCTACAGCAGTGTGATTTTTTTGGTTTTTCGCGACCAGCGAATCAAACGGTTATAGCAACAACATCAGCATCTGAAAAAGCAATCACCGCTACCACCACCAACAACAACAGAATGGCAGTCCCAACAGCTTGTACACGTTTCTCGGATAATTATGATATCAAAGAAGAATTGGGAAAGTAAGTACTACACACGTTTCGATGAATCAAAAGAAGGAAAAAATGTAATGTCGATGTCTATTCTCAATTCGTTTCGCGCTCATAGCTCATCTTCATTTTCATCTCTTTACTTTGACATCGCGATTTTTTTTTTTTGGCGCATCTCGCTCTTAGTGTCACATTCACTTCGATAATAATGTTCACGCATTTTCCCATTAACTTCACTTTTTTCGTCATTTTATTCTTTTGTCATTTTGTTTGGCGCTTTACTTTTGTGCTGACAATAATGCTACCATCAGCATCGGCATACATTTAAATGAAACGTCTCTTTGACATCGCAACAGCTGACTGCTGTAGATCAACAGCAGCCGAATGAAGAAAAAAAAACCAACGCGAGTTTCACAAAAGTACGCATCATTTCGGCAAGCTCTTGATTCAATAATGTATGCTTGTGTTGGATGAGAGTTTCCAATTATTCAACATGTATTTCACTGAATCGGCTGCTTTTTCAATTTATTTTATTTTTCGCTTTCATTCCATATTGCCTCGAACTCATTCTATTCGAACTTCAGAACACCAATACCGTTCTTTCTATATATATAATCATATTATTTTGTTTCTGTACACGTTTCACATAATCTTTTATCTTGCTTCTGTTCAACGTCATACTATTCATTTTTGTTCCCTCGCCTATCTAAAGTGTATGTGTTTGTATTGTGTTGTTGAACGTTTTAAATGAGATACATTTTTGTTTACGTACAAATTTTTACGAGACAACAAAATTACGATCGCCTTCACAAAGTTTTTTTTTGACGCTTTTCGTTCGTTATATATATATTTTTTCGTTTAATAAAGCCAATTCTCTCATCTCTCATGAACCATAATGTAACACGCGAAATAAATAAGCCACTTTTTTGTTTATTTTTTTTTCTCCTAATTTATTTTATCATTGACTTTGGCGTGTACAACGAACGCGCCACTCGGTTTTATGTTTTCGTTATTTTTTTTCTGCTTGTATTGGAGCTGAGCAATGTCCAACATCAGAGCTGCAAACAATTTATTTATTTATTTCTTTTTTACTTTTAAATAATAACCATTTTGCATAACGACTAAAACGAGAACATTTTCTGTGTCTTTTCTGTAGAGGAGCATTTTCAATTGTAAAAAGATGTGTACAAAAATCCACTGGCCTAGAATTCGCTGCAAAAATTATAAATACAAAAAAGCTCACCACTAGAGGTAGGGCAAACCAATCGTTTATGTTTACTTACTATATTATAATAGTGCAATTTCCATTTAATATACTACAACCAAACATAAAAAAATGGTAAACCTACCTAATTTCTGGGAGGTTGAAACAAAGAGAATAACAAAACACACACACATACTGTATATCGATCGGACACAAAACGTGTTATTTTGAACACCAGTCATGCTACTCATTGTCCTCAGTCAAAATAAATTGTGTGTGTGTGTGTGTTTGTGAATAAAATACAATCTTAATGGACACCATTGTATTTTTTTGTGCTTTTGCTGTACTTCTTTTGGTCACCGAAGTAAAATTGAAAAAAAATGTGAATATTTTTCTTTTTTTTCTTTTCTTTTCTGTTCCATTTCGTTGTCTGCACGTCTTTGGGCAATGACTTCAATCTACAATGATTCGAATGGCTTGCGTCTAACTTTCAACGGGCACACACAAAAAAAAACCAACAAAATGAAAACTCAAATTTGCAGATTTCCAAAAGTTGGAGCGAGAAGCGCGAATATGCAGAAAATTGCAGCATCCCAACATTGTACGACTTCATGATAGCATACAAGAAGAAAACTTCCACTATCTTGTATTTGATTTGTAAGTATGATTCAACTTGTATAATTGAGAATTCTCGGTTGTTTGTCTTGTCATGCTGCTACTTTTTTTTTGAACTTTGTTTGTTCGCAATTTTTCCTGGGCCCTGTCCAAATGGAAAAGTTTTGAAAATTAATTTTTGCTTTCTCTTTCTGGGTTTGTGTGTGTGTTTTTTTGCTTCGATTGTTAGTTTTTCCACTGGTTCTGTTATTTTTATGAAATTATGGTTTCATGTCATTTCTTTTGAACAGAGTAACTGGTGGTGAACTTTTCGAGGACATTGTAGCTCGTGAATTTTATTCGGAAGCCGATGCATCGCATTGCATTCAACAGATTCTTGAATCAGTGAACCATTGTCATCAAAATGGTGTGGTGCATCGTGATTTAAAGCCAGAAAATCTATTGTTGGCAAGCAAACTGAAAGGTGCCGCCGTTAAATTGGCCGATTTTGGATTGGCTATTGAAGTGATGGGCGATCAACAAGCATGGTTCGGTTTTGCTGGCACGCCTGGATATTTATCACCAGAGGTATTGAAAAAAGAACCATACGGACGTGCCGTTGATATATGGGCGTGTGGTGTGATTCTTTACATTTTATTGGTTGGATACCCACCATTTTGGGATGAAGATCAACATCGACTGTATTCACAGATCAAAGCCGGTGCATATGATGTAAGTTTATTTTCCATTCTTTTCGGGTTTTTTTTAATTCAGGAGCAAGTTTTCACCAAAATTTTACATCTAAAAGACAAACGAAACGACTTTAAAATGAAAGAAAATTGCTTTAGTTTGTATTTATGTTGAAAACATTTTTTTGCATTTTCATCGTGTCCGTAGTATCCATCGCCTGAATGGGACACAGTTACACCAGAAGCAAAGAATCTCATCAATCAAATGCTTACCGTCAATCCATTCAAACGTATTACAGCTGCCGAAGCACTAAAACACCCCTGGATTTATGTAAGCGAGAAAACATATATTAATGATGCAATGTGTTTCATATCGTTAATAACTTGTTGTTTTTGTTATTGTTTCTATTCTATTATCATCATTTTCGGTGCCATCATTATAGCAAAGAGAACGTGTTGCATCAATGGTTCATAGACAAGAAACGGTGGATTGCTTGAAGAAATTCAATGCACGTCGAAAACTAAAAGTAAGTTGTGGTTGTTATTTATTGTTACTTTAGTGCTAAAAATATGGTGAGAAAACAAAAACATTTTCACACAATATGACATTTATTGCATGCATTTGTTTTTTTGTTCACTTCCAAAGGGTGCCATCCTGACAACAATGCTGGTTTCGAGAAACTTTAACAGCAAAAATTTAATGTCGAAAAAAAGCGATGGAAGTCAGAGTGTCAAGGAGTCGACGGACTCAAGTGCAACAATGGATGAGGATGATTCAAAAGGTAAAAGAGAACGTAACCTTGATGATATTGTTGAAAGCATAAAATAACATTTCCTCTGAATCCTCGCTATGCTTCTCACACACATATTTTTTTTTCTTGGAAATTCAACAAGCATTTTATTCATTGGAGTTCATTTTAAATCCTTGTTTCTTCCTTTTTTCGGTGTACATCTTTTGATATTTGTGTGTGTTTGCACGCACACGCCATCCGATGATTTATCTGATAGACGACAAAAAGGGTGGCGTTGACCGTAGCACAACCGTTATTGCCAAAGAGCCAGAAGGTAATTCATTCCTCCCAAGTTCATGCGTGGGTCATTGTTGAACCTTTTGAATTTTGAAATCCATCTTTTTTCAGCTGATGTTTGGATTGCATTGCCTACAAGTAAACCAAGTCATCAATTATCCACAAACTCCCAATGCTCAGGTAAATACAGCAGCTGCTACAAATTCTATCCCCATATACTGAATTCATGTCATTTATTTTCAAAAATAAAAAAAAATCTCTTCATTTTGCAGCTCGTCGTCAGGAAATTATCAAAATGACCGAACTACTTATTGAGGCTATAAACAATAGCGATTTTGATGCTTACACGTAAGTCCATTGCTCGCATATAATATGCATATTTATCAAACAAATTGAAAATAAAGCTCATCATTGTTCATGGCTTATATTTTGTTTATGGAATTTCTTTTCATTTCTTCGTTTAGAAAAATTTGTGATCCACATTTAACTGCATTTGAAACGGAAACATTGGGCAATTTGGTTGAGGGAATGGACTTTCATAGATTTTATTTCGAAAATGGTAAATTTAAAATTGCATGAAAAGAGATTATTTTGTTGATATGTATGACGGTCAAATCAAGTTCAAGTTTTATAATAATTTATCCAAATACACAAACACACACACACCGACCAATCAATTATTCCATATGGAAAATGCCACATAATATCAAATCGATAAAATTCGATTGAACATGAACACGAACATAAAAACCAGAGATAATAGCGGAACATGAGTGTGGGAATGTGTTGCGTGTTTCGATATTGAACTGTACATGCATATCCGATAAAATAGATTTTGAACAGAAAACGAATGAAAATTGTAACACACATATATCTCATTTAAATGAATATTTCAGTCGTTGGAAAAAACTGTAAGGCTATAAATACAACCATTCTAAATCCGCATGTTCATTTGCTTGGCGAAGATGCCGCCTGTATTGCATATGTTCGATTGACCCAGTACATTGACAAGTGAGTTCATTTTGTTCATTTATGCATAGATAAATATCTATTAGTATTGAATTGTATGCGCTATAAGTATATATATGCAGTACATGTAATAACGACATTCACAATGTCGATTCTTCACATTTCTCAATTGTTCTCTAATTTTCTTTATCTTTCTATTCTTGCACTTTTCCGGTTTCTCTCCCTCTCTCTGTCACTGTTCATTGCGCCTTTTCAATTCAATATTGGCACACATTCGATTGTGACTAATTTTCAAATGCGCTATAAATATCCGTGCCTTTTTGGATTTTAATTCATCAAACTAAAACAAAACCAAAACAAAAATTAATCGTCACTGCACGAACAACGATCATTGAATTGATTTTATGAATCGCGTGCTACACAGAGACGGCCAGTCGCATACACATCAATCGGAAGAGACGCGTGTATGGCACAAGCGTGATAATAAATGGCAAAATGTTCATTTTCATCGAAGTACAACTGGACATGTAAGCGGCACAACATCGTTTGGATTCGCCCCTCAAAACCGTAAATAATTGAATGCAAATCTTAACTTAACAACAACAACAAAAACAACAACAATAGTAATGCCGCAAATACCCCAGCCACGCCATCAAATCAATTCATCAAATTACGAACAAACAAAAATTAATATGATAACCACTGGGATTTGAAAATCCTCAGAGCTGAGGTATAGCGATACGTCATCGTTGCATTTACTGGATTAATAGCAAAAACCAAAACAAAAAAACCTTCATCTTGGAACATAAATTTATTGCCAATTTCATTACTGGAACAATTTGCTGTCTTACAGAATAAAAAAAGTGTTAACATTTTTTCCCGATTTATATTCAATCAGCTCAAAGCATAATTTTGAGCAATAAACGACCATTTCTTTTTTGTATTCATTCTGTTTGAATGGAATATTTAATGAATATGTAGCATTTGGTTGAGTATCGCTCACATCAGAGCCGAAATGAATAAATATGGATATATACAGACGAAAAATAACTGAAAAAAAGCAAAATGAACTTCTATTTGCTGAGACGCCTGGGAATGTATGCAGATGTTACTAGTTATGGGTATATGAAAATTTTCAATTTTGAAATTGATTGAATGAAAAACCAAAAAAAAAAAAAAACGATTTTGTTTGCATTAAAAGACAACACCTTACCTTACTCCCCATCTCCAAAAAGAGTAATTGTACCCCTGTGAAAAATGCCATTGAATAAGTAATTTGAATACAATTCATACAAATTTATTATAATAAGCCACGAAACGGCTAACTAGATAGATAGTCGCCTATGCACAAATTGCTCTTTGTAATGCAAACGAAGTCTTAAAATTACCTAATTCGTCTTCATATCGGTCAATTTCAAATTGACACATATATTATATATCGATTTTCGATACCAATCCAGTTAATCGAGCTCATTTTGACATCTCCAACCAATAGATATATTAACATGCAAATGAAACCACCTAAATGTCTACAATATAACCTAATACCCTTTTCTCTCCCTTTTTATTAACGATATATTTGATGATGAAAGTGCTAAAAAAACCATTAATCACACAAACAAACGTGTAACGGTTTGTAATTGATACATTTTCAAAAGATTGAGAAAAAAATACACGTTTTTTTGTGTGTGTCTCCGAAGTGAGAAAAATGCGAAACTTTTTTGATGTTATAACTAAATGAAAATATAATCATGACGTAAGAACTAAGTATTCTATATGTGACGACTTCTCTCAAGGTAATTAGACGATGAAGATCAACCATCTATTAAACCGCATTATATATATAAGTTGGAAGCAAACAAATTGATGAAATGCAAATAAACAACATAAATGAAGAAAAAAAAACATACAATACATGGAATTACTCGTAAATGTATAAAATAAACATATGGCTTGTTAGGTATAAATTTTGATCAGAACGTTTTCTAGAACAAGTAAATTTCGATAAAAAAAATATTCATTTTGCGGGAATGATTTTCTCTCGTTAAATCTTCCTGTAAATAATATTAAAGGTAAAATGAAGTGAAGAACAAAAAAAAAAGAAAAAAAAAACATTGATAAAAGAACTGTTATTAAAATGAAAAGGAAGAATTATAAGAAGATTTGAAATGGAAGGAGATTTGCGACAAAATTAAAAGAGTGTCAAAAGCGGCCTACTTTACGATTTCGATCAAACGCATCGCCGAAAGAAATGTCATTTATACGGCCACTAAAAGAAATTCTAAAAATAATCCACTTTTTTGACAAAAATTCCTTCCAACAACTTGCGAACATACACACAAACAAACACATGATTCCGGCGTCTCTTTTTTCTACATTTCGACGCAAAAATAATGATACGACATCTGAATGAATTCTTTAACCCGTTAAAATATTTTGAAGGAAACGAACAAAAAAAAACAATCTCTTTTGTCATAGATAAAACAAACAAGTGTAGAGCAAAAGAAAACTCTACAAAACTTTGCCTTTCTTGCCTTTTATTGCGTTCTATATTTTATATTCCGCATTGTGGAATTAATTAATCTCAAGGGAAATCAACTGCTGCTTAAAGCACTTGTTAAAGCAGCATCGATTCGATGGGAGACAACCAACAATCACAATGAAAACACAAAATGAAGATGTAAACGAAGAAAAACAATATAATGAAAAAGATGAACGACAACATGCTTTGGCTTTGAATACATAAAGTAGTTTTGACTCTCTCGCTTATTAAATTTTTGAAAAATTTCGAATAAAAAATTAAATTCAACCACTTACACATGCCAATCAATATCTCCTTTTCTCAAATGGGTTTCGATTTCAAGCCTTTTGCATTTAAGTAGCAAATACGATGAAAAACAAAACGCAAACCAGCAAAATATTTACTGTTGAAACAATCTTATAACCTATTATTCTATTTATTTAGCCTTTTTTCTCTCCTCGACGACTCAATCCAAAATAACAACAACACTATTTTGTTTTGCCAATATATGAATGACAAGACATTGGCCGTCGGCCAACATTCTCGTCACCATAAATATATTAAATATGAACGTGTTTGCAGAAGAGGAACATATACACACATGAGTTATAAAATAACTGAGCTGTACAATTTTCTCGGTAGATATTTAAAAAAAAATGATAATGTTAAACAAAAAAAAAAACATAAATGATGCAGGTTTAACGGGTTCGAAACTGAATTTAACAAAGAACAAAAAAAACTGAAATGAAACATCACCTAGTTAGCATTTTATTACTTCTTTTAAGTGTGCCCATTTGCGGCATTCAAAAAAAAAAAAAAAAAGATTCATGTTATGCAATTTGATGCAAATTAAATACTAAAAATCTTTTTTCTATTTAGTTTTATTCAATTTTGTTTGTAGATTCATGTAATGGAATTTGTTGACTCTTATTTTTCCTAAGACACTCAATGAAGAGATGAGACAGAAACAATGCATAAATTATTACATTTCAATGATGAGAAACAAAAAATAAACAAATTTGATGGGAAATATTGTATATTTTAGTCTGACAGTTCGGCCAAGACTGAACGAAACACAACTATGTTATATTCAACATATTTAGTGGTATTTAACAAAAAAAAAACAAGTCTTATAGTTAAACGAGAAAATAAATAAATAAATATGCAACTTAAATGAATAGTCCTTTCGACAACTGATTCGCCATTTATTTGGAACACGACAAACATTAATTCTATTACATTGAATATTCGAAATCAATTTATTGATATCAACATCAAACATAAAACAACAACAATAAAAACGTCAAAATTAATGCTAATTCAAAATGACAAATTGTATCATTATTAAATTTAAATTCTATGAATAAAATTTCAAACAACTTATACTTTCAATTGTGTTTTATTTTCAATTATATCATCATGGGATTTACAACTTACGCTTAATTTCAACCAGCTGAAATATCTCGTCTCAGCCATGGCTCAGCTAGCTGATTTTATGTGAAGGTGAATTTGGAAAACTGACGAAGGAAATGTAACTGATGCAAAACTTTAAGCATTATCAACCTCAGAAATTCAACTTACATCGACCATGTTTTTTGATACCAATTATTTTGAACAGCTGATAATAATCACTTCGAAACTTATACGTGTACACCATAGGATTTTTGGGGGGCCACCTGTTGATTACTATCAATTTCATTATTACTACCAGTAATGGTTTTTTTTTCTTCATAAATTACTATCATAGCAATTAAATAGATAATCGCCATTTTAATAACAGATAGAACATTTTCAACGAAATGATATTATAATTTCTGTTATTATTCTACACTACTAGTTGTCGCGAATATGGATAAGTTTTTTAAAAATAATTTTCAATAATGTGATTATTTTTATTCGTTCTAAATGAAATTAAACCAGGACAATTAGAACAAATGAATTAAAAATGGATCAAGCGAACAATAAGTAGTATCTGGATGTGCTCACACCAAATGATTACTAAAAATATCGATGTTTTCTCACCTACCGTCATTATATGAACGACGCTGTTCACTTATATACATTCAATAAAATTATTAACACACAAAATGAAAACCATATTTCGCGTCGTTTTTTTAACACTTCTAACATTCATGTTATTTGAATGGAACATTTTTACTACAGCTACGGTAAAATAATTTATTCAAAGTATATGAGATGAATCGTCAAACATTAATTCATTGAAAATAAATTACTTTTAGAAAAATACAATTAATTTTGAACGGGCTACATGTGCAAAGAGTCCAAATGGAAATATCTCATATTTAAAATGTGATATCAGACACGTGAGCCGAAGACACGTTCGAGTTGATGTGGCTCTAAATTTAACCAAACCGGTGAAAGAAGCGCTAATGCATATTGTTCTATATTATAAATACAATACGTATCAACGCTTTGCTATAAACCTTTGGGAGGACGCTTGCTTTTGGATAAGTCACATGAAAAAATCATTCTTCCTCGATTGGACACTTAAAAGATTTTTCAACCTTCCAACGAACATCAACAACATTACCAACATAAATCACCCTTGTCCATATGAAGGGTTTGTTTACGTCAAAATCAACAACGTTTCGGTAGATCAATTCCCTTTCGAACAGGTATACTAAACGGCTTAGGTATTTTGATTGTCACATATCTGATTGATTTTGTTCTCTCAATTTCTTTCAGTTTATTCCCAGTGGACGATACAGACTTGATGTTGATTTTACTCGTCATGATAAGAAAACACTGTATGCGAGTGCAAAACTGTATTTTTCTGTGTCTGATCTACGTATTGAACAGTTTTGAAAAAGGTCATGCGAATATTTGATTTTCACATTTTTCAATTTGATATAAATAGAACCGTTCTCAATTTGCAATGAAGACATTCACCTTTTATCAACGATATTCAAATGTTTGCCGATTTATATTTACAGACACTTTCGTTTATGAAAATCCAATTTTTGCTAAATATTTAACGTCTATCATTAATTAAAACCAATTAAAACCAGAAACAGGTGGTTTGATCACAATGTAGAATATTTGCGAGAGTAAGTATAGAATTAGCATATTTGTATTGCAACAGATGTTTGAAATCTTAATAAAATGTTTGATTGTATCGAAAACGATAATATGGGGTAATGTATGCGCAAAGGCCTCTTTATTAATTTTAACAGTAAAAATCAAGAATGAAATCTATTTTACTAGTTTGGTTTATTTTTAGAGTCGATAGAAGTCAGACTTAATCACTTATCACTTAATTTTATTTGAAATATGCTTTATTTATTTGGACAATGGAATTTATTAGATTTCTAAAAAGATTTCGACTAACTTTTAAAATCTACAAATTCAATATTGTGGTAGTTGAGGTATACAATGAATTTATTCGATTGCAATAGCTTCTCGGTGGTTCTTCAAAAACTGTTTCAAAATAAAACGAAATCGTTTTCATCATACTTTCTTGTGTCATTTTTCTGACGCAGATATTTTCGACAGTTCCAAACATATGTTTTCGAAATTTGAATCTGCATTCGCAAATCTGTTGCGAGTAAATATAATGCTTACGACAATGGAGTTCATTCCAATCTGTTTCTATAACAAGCGCAAAAAGGTTCACGCATGTTTAAATCAATTTTGCTGCAATATTAAGCAGTCTAGTTAATTACTACAAATTTATCACTTTAACGAGGACTGCGAGGCGAGCGAATAATTATGAAGAACAAACTCAATTTAAGAAAATCTCTCTCTACGCATACGTTGAAAAATGAGAAAAACATCGAAGAATGCGAAGAAAAAAAGGACTTTAAATCAAAAAGCTGGAAAATCTCACTCATCATTATTCTGGTAAATCATTATGAATAGAGACAAAGTAATTGTTGCAGCTTTGACTAATTCCATACGCCTTTACTTGTTTTCAATCGCTTCAATTTAGACGACAATCCGCCGGCTGGTCAGTTCAACATGCCTGTTCCAATTGATATTGATGTGTGCACAAATGGTTATGTTGATGACCATTTTGTATAAAACATTATTTTTGTCACCTCATCGATATGACTACGATGACAACCGGCATCCGATAACCGGTGCAAAGCATTCGTTTTATCCGCGTCCAATTATTAAGATTGAAAAAAATGCCAAACCATTGAAAATCGATTGGCACGACTACGCATTTATTGAAGCAGAAAAATTACGGCATGGCATCGGAGAACACGGCGAACCTGCATACTTATCGCCAAATTTGGAAGACGAACGCAAACTACTATTTGATCAACATGGTTTCAATGCACTGCTAAGTGATCAAATCGCTCTTAATCGATCTATAAAAGATATTCGTCATAAAGAGTACATAATTTTTGATGATTTTCATGTTTGATTTGATGTTCACGCACTTTTTTCTTTTATTTTAGCTGCGCAAATGTGAAATATTTAAAAGAATTGCCAACTGTAAGCGTTATCATCCCGTTTTTCAACGAACACTGGAGCACACTATTACGTACTGTTTACAGTGTACTGAATCGATCACCGCCGGAGTTAATCGTTGAAATTATTTTGGTAGACGATCTAAGCAATAAGGAATTTTTGAAAACAAAACTTGATCAAATTGTGGCAAAATATTTGCCAAAAGTCAAAATTATTCGGTTGAACGAAAGATCGGGATTGATAGTGGCACGTTTAGCCGGAGCTAAAGGTATGAATGATTCAAAAATTGATTGATATCGAAATAACTGACAAACCCAATAATTTTTTTTTTTTTAAGCTGCTAGAGGTGAAGTTTTGATCTTTTTGGATTCACACACCGAACCAAACACAAATTGGTTACCACCGTTATTGGGTGAGAATTGAGATTGATTTTTGTATTTTTTTTAACATTACTCACAGGACATTATATTTTTATTTTCTTGCGGTGTAGAGCCCATTGTTGAAAATTATAAAGTATGCATGTGCCCATTCATCGATGTCATCAGATATGATACATTTGAATATAAAGCACAAGATGAAGGTGCAAGAGGTGCTTTTGATTGGCAATTTTACTACAAACGACTACCTCTAATGCCAAATGATTTGGCGCATCCAACGAGACCATTTAAAAGTCCAAGTAAGATTGAATGGAATACTATCCAAGTCCGATATCAAGGTTATATTTTACTTCACATCGTGTTATTTCTTTTAGTAATGGCTGGCGGTTTGTTTGCAATGAGTGCACGATTTTTCTGGGAGTTAGGAGGCTACGATGATGGCTTGAATATTTGGGGTAAGATTCTTCAAAATTCGAATGAATAATTATGAATGTGAAACAGTTTGGTGATTTTCCTTCAGGTGGTGAACAATATGAATTAAGTTTCAAAATCTGGCAATGCGGTGGTGAAATGTATGATGCTCCTTGTTCCCGTATTGGTCATATTTATAGAATGCAAGGTGGTCCCTCCCCTGTCTCACTCGAAAAAAGGGAAAGCTCTCTGCACAGGGTGATTAAAATTTTCCGTTGGTTTTTTATTCTGAATATTCGATTCGCATAGGTATTTTGAGCTTACTTTTTTTACTCTTAGAATTATAAACGTGTGGCCGAAGTATGGATGGATGAGTACAAAGAATATTTGTATCAGCGTAATCCTGAAAAATATTCAAGTATTGACGCCGGCAATTTGACAGAACAAAAAGCATTACGTGAAAAACTGCAGTGCAAATCGTTTAAATGGTTTATGGAAGAGGTCGCATTTGATTTGCCAAAAATGTTTCCACCGGTCGAACCGCCTGATTTTGCATCTGGAGTAATACAAAGTGAATCACATCCGAATCTGTGTGTGGACACACTCAATCATGGAATTGGAGAAGAATTTGGCTTGTTTGGATGCGCTAAAAATCATCAATGGCCGCATCTTAATCAATTTTTCGTATTAACTTGGCACGAAGACATTCGCATAAGAAACACAAAAAAATGCTGGGACGTTTCCAAATCACAACCAAACGCTCCAATTATCTTTTACGATTGTCATGGACAAAAAGGAAATCAGCTCTGGAAATATAATATCGTAAGATGAACTTATCATACTTTAGATTATATCTTTTTTTTCGAATTTTACGTTTCATAATCGATTAATTAACGTGCCTGCAGGAGAAGAAATGGATTCATCATAAAGACCAGTGTTTGGATTTTGATGCGAAAACCAAGAAAGTCTTTGTAAACCAATGCAATCCAAACAATCCAAATATGAGGTGGAATTTTGGTTTCGTCAACACAACAGCCATACAACAACTTGATCTGAGTGACGATACATTGAAATAGATTGAATTATGTATCTTCCTCGAAGAAATTCAACCTCACTTTGTGACATTATTTTGTTTGTATAATTTATTATAGAAAATTAATAAAAATGCAAGGGGCATTTTACTATATGCGAATGCCATTTTATACGGAATATATGAACATTTTCCTATTCATACATGAAATATACGAAGTAAAGTATATTCATCCGCATCAACATCTATGAAAATTCGTACATTTCATTCGCAACCATTCGCGAATGCCGCATACGTCTTGCTAGATGCGACAAACTGTCGTGTGACATTTGTACATACACATTGCTGTGTTCAGTTTGTCATGGAAGTTTCAAACATAATGTCATTGTTCTCAACTAAATTTGAAAAACAGTTGAAGAAAAAAAAACAAGATTATTTGTTGAATATTATTTTAAAAGCCGTATTCGATTCGAAAAGTGAGATTTTAGAAATAAATTCAGATAATATAAAAGAAATTGAAAGTTACGTCAATGAAAATAAAAACCTTTCACAAGGCACCGTTTACAGTGATTATATTACGAGTGGCAAAGATTTATTTACCATTTTAGAAAAATTTCACTCAATATTACCAAAAAAATATCAACTCGGCTTGAATCTCTGTCACCTAATCTGTTACTTTGACTTTTTGAATGTAAAAATATGATTTTTCATATGCGCCATCCGCAAAATGTGTATGAAACATTCGACATCATCCGCAAATTTGTATGAAACATCCGCCACCATTCGTAAAATTTGTATGAAACATTTGCGACCATTCGTTCCCATTTGCAAAGAATATGGGAAAAAATCGCTCGCATATGGAACATTCGTATATGTCGGAACCCCCTAGTAAAAATGTGTATTCTAAACAGGGATTGTTCCTCTGAGGAGGAGGAATGGTGAGGAGGAAGATGAGGAGGAGGAGGAGAGCGAGGAGTGCCCTTTGAGCAAAAAACTTTTCCTCCTCACTTGAGGAGGAGGATCCTCCTCGCATTCCTCCTCCACACCATTCCTCCTCCTCAGAGGAACAATCCCTGATTCTAAATATTTTCGTGTTTTATTTTTGTAACAATTTATTATATTTTACATTCGACAAGGCATTTTGCGTGCCACCTGTAAACGAATACGTTGACGCACTGACTTAACATTTAGGTATAAGGCAGTAATGTGCAAAGGGGAGGGGGAGAGGGGGTTTACCCCCCTGTGACTTCAAAATTCTTCCGATTTGCTAGGGACTTTCATCAGAAACGAAATTTTTCTCAATTTCCTAGGGTTTTTTGAAGAAAATCTTGAAATCAGCCTCCCTGGAAAATTTTGCTCGCACATTACTGGTTCATGGTATGGCCGTGTTTTGTTACTGAGATTCCTTATGTATCTTAGACTTTATTATGAAATCTGTAAGTATCTGTTGAAATCAAAGCTTGATACATCAACAATGCAATAAATTGCAATAAGGAACGCAAAACAAATGTATAGCAAATGGTTATCGGTATTACCAAATTATCCGCACACAAAAATTAATTTCGTGTGTAATATTATGACGCATTCGCATATCTAAACATAGATTACAGCCGCAGTGAAGAAATTGAGTTCATTTTAATCGTATTTCTACATTTCATTGACGGCAATAAAGTTACACAAGCTTTTATAACAATTTCAAAAAGCTTACATGCATTTCGGCTTATTTGATTGGAGTGCCAACGAAATATTATTACATTCGAAACAAGATTCTCAACAAGTGTAATTATATTTTTCATTTCTTCCTAATTTGATGAGGACTTCAAATCGAAATTTCGGTAGTAAAGGCAGAATGTTGAATAGTAAATCGAATTTAAGAAAATATATAAAAACGACTAAAAATGATCAAACCATCGAAGAACACGAAGCAAAAAATGATTTTAGATCAAATAGCTGGAAAATCACACTCATCATTATTCTGGTAAATCATTGTGATTAGAGTGTTGTACATAGTTTCTACAGATACTTTGAAAAAGAAAAATCTGACGAGGAGGTTTTATTCTTAAACTTTTTGCCAGGCATCACTATTTGTTCGAAATTTAATTTACGAAAAGCCACCAAAACGCCAAAATTATACTGACGAACCTGTGCAATTGGTGCCAGAAAAATATAGCGACTCCGAATTAGTTGAGTGGAAACCTGCGCCAGCTCCGATCAATCGGCCCGGTGAGCCGGGAAATTTGGGTGAATATTTTTTTATTTGATCTCAATTCAAGTTGGAAAATGTGTTTCAAGTTCTTTTCAAATGTATTAAAACTTTTTTTCGATAAAATTTGATTAGGTGAAGCCGTTGTCGTTCCGGAAGAGCTGAAAGAAGAGGCCACCAGGCGGTTCTCAGAAAATAATTTTGATATCGTCGCCAACGAATTGATGTCAATGAATCGAAGTTTACCTGATATGAGATACCCAGAGTGAGTTCATACATACTTATACGTACATATACACTTTTTAATAACATGCATTTAATTAATTTAGGTGCAAACAACTGAACATGCCACGAAAATTACCTCAAGTGTCTATAGTCATAGTATTTCACAATGAGGCGTGGTCAACACTAATTCGTACCGTTTGGAGTGTTATCACACAAACGCCTAGAGAATTGTTAAAAGAAATAATTTTGGTAGATGATTATAGTACACTCGACCATTTGGGAAAACCATTAGAAAATTATTTGAGCAATTTTCCGGTCAAAGTATCGTTAACGAGAGCACCATCTCGTGTTGGATTAATTCAAGCACGTTTAATAGGCGCTAGCAAATCGACGGTACTGTTGACCTAATTTTCTTCTATATGAAGTCGAAAAATGAAATAAATTATTATTAAAGTAAATGACGTTTCAGGCAAAGGTGTTGGTATTCTTAGACTCACAGTAATGTCACCATCACAATTGTTTAACAAATATTATCCCATGTTCTATTTAACAACTCTAATTTTAATTTTTTTGTTTGCCTTTTCTAGTTGTGAATGTGTTCAGGCGTGGTTAGAATCCTTACTGGTACCAATAGTCGAGAGCCGAACAACAGTTGCCGTTCCAATCATTGATAGAATACATTATAATACAATGGCAATCCACTCGGCCAACTTGAATACACAAGGCTCATTTGATATGCATATGTCGTTTACATGGGATCCGTTGCCACAAAAAACTTTGAATTTTATGAAAATGAATCGTACTGCACCCATTCCGAATATTGGTATTCAAAATAGAAATATTCTAATGAATTACTGTAAAAAACGTGCTTTTTTCGATCATTTTTAGCAATGGCCGGGGGACTTTTTGCAATTGATCGTGAATATTTTTACAGCTTGGGCGCATATGATGAAAAAATGACGATCTGGGGAGCTGAAAACACTGAAATTTCGTAAGTTCCTTTGATACATTTGAATAAGAATCAAAAAAGAATTGAAAGAATTTCATTTAAGAATTCGTATCTGGACCTGTGGAGGAAAAATAGTTTCAGTGCCATGTTCGCGAGTTGGCCATATTTTTCGCACCTCATCGCCGTATACATTTGATGGGGGAATTAATCGCATCATTTCTCACAATAAAGCAAGAATGGCCGAAGTCTGGATGGATGAATTCAAAGAAACGTATTTCAAACTGAATCCACGAGCAAAACGAGAATTAACCAATGTTGATGAACGAAAAATGTTACGAAAAAGACTTCAATGCAAACCATTCAAATGGTTTTTAGAAAATATTTTCCCAGGAAGTCCTTTCAATATTAAAAACTATAAACTTGTCGAAGTAAATTGTCTATAAACTAATCACTGTGTGAACACGAATTATTTAATTTGTCTTTATTTCAGATTGAAAGTCTTCATTCAAATGAAGCATGCATAGATGCAGGGGGCGGATCAACTGAATCTACTCGCAAATTTCAAGTGAAGAAATGTCATTTTTTGGGCGGAAATCAACTGTTTATGTTTACCGAGAAAGGCGAAATTCGTGAAAAAAAACTCTGCATGGATGCAACGGTTCCTGGTAAATATTGACTATTTCTGCTTTCTTTTTTATTTACGGGTAAAAAATATTTGATTCATTACAGGAGCGCCAGTCACAGCTTGGCCATGTCATGGTCAACGAGGAAATCAATTTTTTTATTATGATGAAAGCGTACGTGACTCGTGAACATGATTTTCATATAGAAAAAAATCTATAAACTATTTCGTATTTACAGACATTCCAAATCAAACATTCAACCGGAATAAATTGTTTAACATTACAAGACTCGTTTGCACTAACAATCCAAAAGTGTGATGGATCAATGGCTCAAAAATGGCGTTTATACAATCATTGAATTCACATCTTAAAAATTTGATTTTTAAAAAATCAACGTAACAATTAAAAAAAATTGCAACAGATCAGTATAAGAAGTGGTTCCAGAATAACGGCTTTTCCATTGATGTCATTTGAATCAAATCATTTCAAGTCAATAAAAAATATTGACTAGTTTGAACAATAACTAATAATTTCAATTTGTTAAAGAAAACTCATTGTTGATTAAGACTTTGAAATTCATACATTTTATTTGAATTGCTGATTTCAGTTTTACATTGTTTTTAGACATTCTTTTTTTCCAGCTTAATGTGTTGCTTCATGGGGATTCAATCTATTCTCTTTCATTATATACATTTGAATGTGCAGTGTAATTTTTATTCATCTAACGTCTAAAATGATCGTTAATATACGATTGATTGTGTTGAATCAACACTGAGAACTACTGTGATATTTGATGGAAGAGAAGTGGAGATAGATAAAGAGAGCAAAAACATCTATAGACAAAAGGAATATTGCAAGAGCATATCATTGAAATATTTTGCAAATTCACAAACATCCATTAAATTGGTTCTCATCTGTGTATCTCTCCACGCGCAATTCGTTCACTGTCGTTCTTATCATATTCTTTGTGTTTCATTTTAATGTGTATATTCGAAGAAAAATATCTATAGATAATGAAGTTTTCGACTATATGGTCAAATACGATCGTACCTATTTTTTTCTATCAACTTATCCCTTCAGTTGGTATTTATCTTGAAC